AAAGAAAAGAAAAGAAAAGAAAAGAAAAGAAAAGAAAAGAAAAAGAAGCCTCAGGGGAGATTTCCCTGGGAAAAGTCAAAGGTAGGTTGGGGCGGAGCCTTTACCCAGCGTTGGGTCAATCTCTGCCCGCAAGCAGGTGAAAGGGAAAACAAACCTTTAGAGTCCCAGCCCAGAGAAGGGTTTGTGGCTCCTGTTGAGCTTGCAGAGCCAAGGGGGACGCTCAGCTCCTGCTACGCTCTCCCCAGCGCCCCGGTGAGGTAGATGCAGCCTCTCTTTGTCCCTTTCTTTCCTTTTTCCCTGCCTGAGGAGTCTGAGCTCAGGGAGCTGAAATGGCATACTCCCCACATTCCGCACACAGCAGCCAGAAGGCCTTCAAAAGGCAAATCAGTTGCTCACTTCAGTAGTCCAAAACCCTGACTGTGGTCAGCAGGTCTCTCCTAGCCTCATCTCCCGCCCCTCTCCCCCAGGCCCACTGACTTCTTCGGCCCTCTGGAGGGGACCAAGCCCTTCCTGCCTCAGAGCCTTGCCCCATGCCCCCCTCCCCTCATCCTCTGGGCTCAGCTGCGGCCCCTCCTCTGGGGCTTTCGTGACCTCTGCACCACTGCTCATTCTCTGGGTCAGAGTCTTCCCACCTTTGGGGGGACTTGCTTATTTATTTACTCTCAAGGCTTCAAGTTCTGGGAGGGTGGGATCCCAAACCCAGTACCTGGCCCTAGGCACTCAATCAATCATTACTGGGGGAGTGGGGGGGAAGGAAGGGAGGGAGCAGCACAGAGTCCTGCAAAGTACCTCTTTCAGAGAAGGTACCTGGGACTTCATTCCTACCTGGCACTCATTTTGTGTGAGATCTGTCTGAGTTTTTGAAGACTCCGACATACCATGCCCAGTCTGTGGCGGTGCGGTGGGGACCGCAAGACCTACCTGTAGAGAACAGGGTTTTCTGTGACCCAGTCATTGGGTAGGCTGTGTGCCCACTTCTGCTGCCGGGCAGACATCATCTCTCCTTCAGGAATATCCGTCTTCTTCATCAAGGGCTTCCTGCCATTCTTGGGGGTCATAGACCTGTCCAAGGCACGCTGCCTGGAGGCTGCCAGAGAGCGGACCAGCTGCGCCTGAATCCACAAAAGATCCCAGTGGGGGGTCAGACTGCAGGCTCCCCAGCACCCTGGCCTGACCCTGCAGTCTTATAAGGTCACAGGGGAACTTGCCAGCAGGAAGGCACGTTGCAGGGAGGCCTTAAACTCCAGGGTACGAACCGTGCACTCCCCCAAAATATTCAGCCATCTAGAAACTATCTCTTAAGAAATTTTGATGAGGGCCAAGATGCTTATCCCAGCATCTTTTGTAATCACAAAGAATTAGAAAAATGGGCCTGTCCAATTATAGAGGGCTGGTTGAGTAAATTCGGCATGTCCCTTCAATGGAATGTTAGGCATTTATTAAGAATGAGACTTACAAAGGATTTTTTATGACACGGGGAAATGCTTATGATAGACCATAAACATATCAATTAAAAGCATAAATTAAAAATTACAACCAAAATTATACAATAGGATCTCAAAATTTTAAACTCATAGAAAAATGACCCAGAGAAAGTGTGCTAACTGTTGAGAATGGTGTGTTGCTTCCAGGCAGCCGGATCATGTGAGTCATTTGTTTCTTTGGTTTCCTTCTACTTGTATAATTTCCAAGACTTCTACAGAGAGCATTATTCAGAGCTCAAAGTAGGAATGAAAATCCCTTTTAAATAAGCAGTACAGTAAGATATTGTTCTTGTCTGTGCAGTTTTTTATAGACATCAAGGCAATTCCAGCAACTTATATGGTTGTCAAGAGGGTATTACTTCAATACATGATGGGAAGTCCGAGATTAACAACTAGGCAGTACATGAATGCCCCTTGACATGGGGAAGGTCCGTGTGATACCATTAACAGGGAAAAAGCAGGTTTCAAGACACTGGTATAGAATCAAGCCCATTTTTAAATTGAAAAAATTAGAAATCCCTTTGTGCATAGAAAAAGGTCCCAAGACATCCATTGGTTAATTCTGGCTATTTCTGAATAATTTAAGTTTAAATTAAATTTAATTAAATTAAAATATTAATGTAAAATTTTTATTTTTTAAGAATAGACATTCCCATTTTGTATTCCTATGTTTTAAGAACCAATAAGAATTATTTTTAAAATCGAAGGAGTTTCAAAGCCTTATTTCATTGGATTCCTAGCAAAAAAGCCTTCAGAGGGAGGGAAGTTTGGGGAGGAGAGGGAAGGGGGTGACAGAGGGACAGACCTACCTCAGCGTCGAAGATCTGCTGGTAGAGTTTCCCGCTGGGAACCTGGGTCACCTTCCCCACTGAGGACATCTTGGCTTGACCGCCGGCTGAATGACCCTGTTGGGAATTCATTGTCCAGGAATCCTGTCTGGGGTTTGGTCTCCATTCCCACCGAGGTTGAGAAACTGATGCCTGCACCCCCAGGACAAGTCCTCCGCCTGGGACAAGGCCCACCCAGGCAACCCCCACCCCCACCCTACTGCTCTGAGGAAAGCATGGGGCTCCTTTGTTTTCATTTTAAACAAAAAAGAGGAGAGGGGCAAAGAAGCAAGAAGGAAACAAACCTCAGGCGAGAACAGAACTCACGGAGAAGGCTGGCTCTTCCAGCCAAGCAGAGTGCAAATCCAAAAGGGACTTGAGGGGGTAAAGAAGAATAATAAATGGTTATTGTTTTGTGTTTCACGCTCCCAAGCTCTCCTGCGAAAGTCAACGTGCCCAAGGTGTCAGTTTGGATTTCAAGCTGGCCTTGAACCCCCAAACTGGAGCTGAACATGGTTCAAGGACCCCTGACTCCCCACTCCGCTACTCCCCGCCACGAGTGGACAGAGAGGGGGTAGTGGAGGGAGGGAGCAGGCTGACTCTGGCCATGCTAATTAGGCACCCACTGTATGCTGAGAAGACCCAGCAGGCTCCTCCCGTGCCACCAGCCCCGCCAGCCTACAGAGGAGAGGGTGGTGGGGGCAGTCCCCGGCCCTCCCCTCTAAGCCCGGGCGATGGAGGGAGGCCCGGCGCCCCACCTGCAAGAAGGCACCACCACTCAAGTCAGCGAGGGCCCTTCCAGGCTCAACTGCAGCGGGACGCACTTGGTCTCCAGGGCAACGCGGAGGGGCGGGAGCCCCGCTAGCCCCGCCCTCACTTCCTCTCGGAGGTGGGAGGAGATGGCCCGTAGCAACCGGAGCGCCCCACCCACAGCAGTGAAACTGTTAGGAACCCACTCCTTCCCTGCCCTTGCAAGGGGGAGCCTCAGGGCTGTCGGGCTGTCAGGAGCGTCCAGAGCAGCGCATTAACTGTTCCGAAAACTGAAGGAGACAGATGTAACTCCGAGCCATGGTAGTCGAGAAAATCCATCCCCTCTGTTTGGTTAAAACCAACCTCTGCGGGCAATATCTACACAGTGCTTGGCTCTAAGTAGGAAGTTGAACGCGTCTCTAAACAAGACCATCTCTTTCTCAGATTACATGGTTGAAGGGCTCCGAATTCAGGCCTCAGGCTTGTATGGAATTAGGATGAAAAGACTATTTTCTAGGACTCTGAGTTCCATTCATCCTCCCCACCACTGCCACATAACCCTTCTAAAATACCGCTCAGACCTGCCCTCTCTCCGGCTCAGAAGTACCCCCAGCCCCCAACTCTGCCGCCCCTGCCAAATCCCAACTCACAGTCCTAGATGACCACAGAGGCCCCCACGTCTGATTCCCACCTTACCCCTCCCTGCTTCAGCAAGCTCTCCACTCTTCCTGCCTATGCCCCCTGCCCCCTCAGCCTGCTCCTCTGTCTTCACACCTCCCAGAGCCTGCCACCCTTCCACTACCAGGGACAAGTGTCCCAGCCACTCACGTTCCTCACCCCTTGTCCACTCTCCTCTCTCTGGGTGTGCTTGTATGTTGGTTTACCGGCAAAGACAGGAGTGCCGAACATCCAGAGTAGGTGTTTCCTGAAGGACAGGTATGTCTCACTAATTTTGATTCAGCTTCACTTGCCCTTCACACAGTGTCTTGCACGTGGTTCAGACATAGTGAATGCTCCCTGGGTAAATGCACGACTACCTAGAATGTCCTGGTCTGACCCTCCTAGAGTTTGTCTCTTTCCCACACTGCCAGCCAGGGTCCTGCCTGGCCAGACCTGTGACTGAGGTTATCACTGAACCTGACTTGAGGGTTTCCTATATTTTGTGAGGTACCCAACTCCCCAGAAAATCCCTCCCCTCCACAGAGATCTCTGTTCCAATTGCTAGTAAATGCACCCTAGGACAACTTCCTACAACAAGTGATCATTCCATTCAGACTAGTTTCAGAAGTTAAGAAACAGAGAATAGAAAACCCTTTTATTCCCCCCTTCTTTGGCACTGGGTTTTATTAACAAGGTGAAATATTGTAACAGAAGGTTGGACTAATTTTAGCAGGAAAGAGAAAAAAGTATAGATAACCGAGGGAAGGGGTGAAAAACACACTAAAAACTAGGAAATGTGGGAGCATCCGGGTGGCTCAGTCAGTTAAGCATCCGACTCTTGATTTCGGCTGGGGTCATGATCTCAGGGTCATGGAATGGAGCCCCGAGTTGGGCTCCGAGATGGGCATGGAGCCTGCTTAGGATTCTCTCTCTCCCTCTCCCCCCCCCACCCACCCCTCCCTAAAATAGGAAATGTGCAGGAATGATTTGCAGTCATCTATACTCTGTCTTGTCCCAGGACCCCCTGCTGGCTTGGCCTTTGCACATCAGAAGCAGTGTTTTCCCTGTCCAGATGTTGTCTAGATTCTAGTTTCTGGCACATCTATAATCTGGGGGTTCTTTATTTTTTTACATATATGGATATAAATATGTAGGCATGGATATATCATGTACAGTATTTTGTTCTGAGTAAACAACACACTTGTTGTAGAAAATAGAAAAATATTCCAGGGAGAATGTAAAAATAACCCATAGTATTACCACTGAGAATTTGCCTCCCTTAACTCCCAAGTCTGGGGCTTTCAGTTTGAGTTTGGATTAAACATGGGAATTTGTGTTTGGCTTTTGGATGCCATTTGCATTGCCCTTCCAACTCTGCAATGTGATATCCAGAAGATTAACCAGCCAGAGGTCACCTGGTTAGTCCCTGTCCCATGTTAGAGGTGGGCAGGAGGCGAGAGACAGGGAATGGTCCTTAGTGGAGCCAAGTCTTTGGACTCTATTTCTGTACCTCACCATCATATCTTCCTCCTGGGTCTTCACCTTGAAAATATCTTTCTTTTTTTTAAGATTGTATTTTTAAACAATCTCTATACCCAACATGGGGCTCAAACTCACAACCCTGAGATTAAGAGTCACACACTCTACCGACTGATTCAGCCATGCACCCTGAAAATGTCTCTTGAGTAGAGTCTCATCTTTTTCTTCCTCTTCCACTGCTCATTGTCCATCTTCTCCACAGTCCACAGAATGAAGACCAACAAGGACCAACAAGAGCTAATATTTATGGAGAGGATTTAATTCCCTTAATAACTATACTCAGGGTAGCATAATAAGCCTATTTTACAGATGAAGAAACTGAAGCTCAGAGAGTGAATAACTTGGCCAAGATCTCCAAGATAGGAAGTGACTAGATCCAGGATATGAATAGAGATCATGTAATTCCAGAGTCTTGAATCAAATGCTATGCCACCTGGCCTTGGTACTAACCAGAAAAAATTCTGGATCAAACTGATTGGATTTGCATGTGGAAGCATAGCATACATACCAAAAAGTATAAGGGTATACAGTTTAATAAATTACCCAAAGGAACACACCTGGTAACCAGTACCCCCAAGAAATAGAACATTACCAACTCTCCAGGAGCCCCTTCATCTACCCATCCCAAGTCACTGCCCTCTCTTCCCCAAGGATAACAAATATTCTAAATTCTGAATTAGTTTTGCCTGTTTTTGAACTTCATTTAAATGGAATCATACAGAACATACTCTTTTATGTCAGACTTCTTTCATTATGTTTGTAAAGTTTCAAACATTTTTGGATGTGGCTGTAAGTTTATTTTTATTTCTGTATAGCATCCTGTCATTTAAAAAATGCCCCATTTTATTTATCTTTTCTATTATTGATGCACATTTGGGTTGTTTCTAGTTTAGAAAATTACAAATCAGGATGCACTGACCATTCTTTAGCATGGTGAACATATGTAGGCATTTCTACTGGGTATTTACCAGACAGTGGAATTTTGGGTCAAAGAATATGTGTAAGTCCATCTTTAGCAGACACTACCACAGTTTTTGAAAGTGGTTGTGTGCGTTTACACCTCAGCAGTGTATAAAGTTCCAGTTGCTCCACATCCTCATTGACATTTGGCCTTGTCAGTGTTTTTTATTTTAGCCATTCTGGTGTACGTGTGGCAGTGTTTCATTGTGGTTTTAATTTGAATTTTCCTGGTGAGTAATGATGTCGTGTAACCTTTTATATACTTTTTGGCCATTTGGTTGTATTTCTGTGAAATATCTGGTCAAATCTTCTGCCCATTTTTTCTGGTGGATTTTGTCTTATTAATTCATAGGAGTCAATTCATATCCTATCTGATGCTTTTTCCCAGATAAATATATGACAAGTGCTTATTCCCATTCTGTTCTAGCCTTCTAACTCTCTGGAAGGTAAAGAGAAATTCTTAATCAGGTCCAATTTATTAATTTTTGTCTTTATAGTTAGTGTAGTTTATGTCCTAAGAAATCTTTGCCTGCCCCCAGGTCATGACAATATTCTCCTAAATTATCTACTACAAATGTTATTGTTTTAAGCTTATACATTCAGATTTAAAACCCACCTGGAATTGGTTTTGTTTATGATGGGGGGAGGGTAGGAGTCAAGATTAATTTTGCTCCCATATGGATAACCAGTGACCCTGGGCCATTTACTGAGAAGACCATCTTCTCTCCATTGTTCTGTGTGTTTCTTTTGTCATACACAAAATGTTCTAAGTACGGGTCTCGCCGGACTCTGTCTATTGTTCCTTTCACTATTAGAGTGCACTGCCCTGATTACTGTTGCTGTATACTAAGGCTTACCATCTGGTAGTGTAAGCCCTCCAAGTTGGATCTTCTTTAAGACTGTCTAGACTATTCTTGGCCACTTGTATTTCTATGGAAAATTGGAAAGCATATAGTTAATGTCCACCAGATATCTGCTGACATACCTTTACTGTGGCTGTATGAATCTATACATCAGTTTGGGGAGAAATGACATCTTAATGATATGTACCAAAACAAGCAAACACACACCAAAAAAACAAAAACAAAAACACCACCAAACTGACCAAAAAAATCCTAATGAAAGAGAAAGAAATGATAAACTGGGAATAAATATTTGCAATTCATATTACAAAGGGGCTCACATCCCTCATACCTAAAGAGTTCCTAGAAATCGGTAAGAAAAAGAACAGACACACTATGGGAAATTTGGCAAAAGACATGAATCCACGGTTTATAGAAAAAGAAATATAAACAGCCTTAAATATATGAAAATAGGCTCAGGCTTAGTCAAAATTGTGAAGTTTAAAAGTTTGACAATACATTCTAAAGCTAAAGGGGGAAAATAGAAAAGTAATTCTTTCCTCCCCAGGGTCTCCAGGCCCACAAGGTCCAGCACACTGTGGACCCACCTGATTGCATAGGGGGCGCCCATGGGGCCCCAGAGGACTTGGGGAGCTCAGAGGGGGCAGGTGGAGGGATTACAAAGAACTCACCTGAGCAGAGCTATTGGTCCAGTGAGCAGGTGTGCACAGTGAGGCAGACTCAGCTAGAGAAAGCAGAGCTTCCCCTCACAGCTCATTCTCCCCGCTTTTGCAGGAGAGCTGGATCCTCAGGAACTTCTCACTGCATGCCATTCGCTGTCTGAAGAAGACATGGGGAGAAGTTTCCAGGTGGGGGGGCCTCTCTCCATAGGAGCAGGGTGGATGAGGAATCTCCCACAGAGCTGGCATTGCCCCTTCTTTCAGCTGGGACCTTCTGGGAGGCAGCCAACCTTGGGGACAGGGATTGAGCTGGAGTGGAGCCTCTAAGCCTCCCTGGAAACTTAGGCCACCCGTTCTGCTTCAGGAATCTGTTCCGTTCAATGTCAGAGATTGGGCTGAGCCAAACTGGACATTTTCGAGTGTTCACTTTATAGCAACAAAGTCTATGTCCAATTGGAACCAAAACCAGTCAAAAATAATGCTGCTCGGAAGAAATGAGAATGGAGTCCCAGCATGAAGACCAGTATGAAGGCTCCCCTCCCCAGGCCCATGGAGCCCTTTGAGCTCAGGGGAAACCAGTGGAAACCCTCATCTAGACAGTTTTGATGTTTTGGGTTCTCAAATAAAAATCATTGACACTCACACCCTTGCCATCTTTCCCCCAATTTTCCCTTCTTTTCTTTCTCTTCCCCTCAGGAAGAGCTCCCAAAAATTTCAAAAGCTTTGTGGCAAAGACAACTCACTGGGCAGGTGGAGTGGAGGCTGGAGGTCTAGAATGAGAGAAGGTGGTGGGGAGGGGGACCAGGCAGGGTGTGGTTTTATTTCTCACTTAAAGTATCTGAAAAATTCCAGTCTTGTCTACATTAACAGAAAGAAGGAGCTATTTGGTCTAGAGCAGGTGGGAGGCACTCCGCAGGGCAGAAGGCCCTGGTCATGGGACAGAGTGGGGGCAGCTGAGCTGTTCCAGGAGGGGTTGCTGAGCTGGCAGAATTAGCAGGTGTGTCTGGCGTCCATGCTGGTCCATCCTGCTGGCACTTGGCTTTCTCCAGGCTGTTGGGGATCGGTGGGGTTTCTTTCTTCCCTAAATAAGCCCAGCCTGTCCTCAGGAAGCCAGGCCCCTGTTGCTCCTCCAGGATTCACTCCCTCTCCAAGAGGAGGGCACCCTACCTGTGCCAGGGTGGGAGCTGCTGGGGAATGCCATGGGCCAGGTGCTCAAATGGCTGCCTAGGCTTGGGTGCAGATGGCCGGACCAGGGACAGAGAGGTGTGCATTCTGTGACTTCCTACTTTGCCCCTCAAGCATCACTGCCAATCAGTCACAGTCAGGAGTCTCATCTGGGTGTCCAGTTGACCATGACATATGTCCCAGATACCTTTGAAGAGTCTGGGGGGACTGACGGCTTCTTAGTGGATCCTTCCTGAATGGAAGTCAGAAGCTTCAAAAAGAGGAAGCAAGGTGTTCCGACCCTGTGCCCTGGTCACCCCCTCCCCTGTCAGTCAGAGATAGCACCTCAGCAGGCCCCTCCTGAGTGGGTGAAGGAAGACTGCTGTGCAGGACAATGTCCTGAGGGGCACCCTGGACAGGTGAAGACTTTGGCATAGCCACAGGCCCAGCCTGGGTGGCAGAAACTCTGGTGGGCTGGGGCAGGCAGGGGCCACTCAGCCAGGCTCCCAAGACCCCTGTCCCTCTTCACCCATGGCTCGGCCAGGCTGGGGGCCTGGACTCACACTGAGAGCCCAGAAGACAGGCCTCTGGTCAGTGGTGGGGCCGGGCCGGGGTAAGGGCAGCTAGGGCGCGGCCTCTCCTCTGTAGGCCTCTGAGCACATCACTGCCTCTCTTTGGGGCTCTGTCTCCTCATCTGGAAAATGGAAGGTGATGATCCTATGGGGCAGGCCTCACAGGCCAGGGTGGTGATAAGGTTGAAGGGAGGAAAGGAATGTGCTAGGGTGTGAGAGGAGAACAACGATGATAGTAATATGATACTGAGTCCTCGGAGACCCTGTGAGGTAGGTGGAGTTCTCCTCACATTCTTCAGATGAGGAAACAGGCCCAGGGAGGCCAGGCCACAGACCCAAGGACACATACTGGGTGAGTATTGGAGCCAGGATTGTCCTAGAATCAGAGCACGCTAGAAGACCGAATAGCACTGGTAGCAACGGACTTAGGTCAGTTGTCCAGGGTGTGAGGTTAGGGAACCTTGGGAGAAACGGGGTGAGGGGACAATGGCCTCACTGACCTTGCCCTTGACCCTGGCAGGAGAGGATCTCCAAGTTGGCCACCTTGGAGATGACCCCCCAGGAAGCCCAGAAGAGGCAGCGGCAGGTGAGGATGCCTGTGGGGAAGGGGCCCCAGGGTCAGCGAAGAGGGGGCTCTTCCCTCCTAAACAAAGGTCTCCACACCAAGCGGGGAGGGGCTTTCCCCCTGCAGCTCTGCCCCCCGTTGCCACAGTGCCAGAAATCCCCCATTAGAAGTGACCGGGACCTGGGGCCACATTCCCTGGGATTGTCAGAAGCAGGCCCTGGGAGGTGATTAGCAGGAGTCTGGTGTTCTTGGAGGGCAACAGGAGAAGAACTGAGGGAAATGCACATGGGCACCCTGGGGTGGAGGCTGAGGGTGAGGAGTTTTCAGGGGACGGCCCCTGAGGGCACCTGAGAGCCAGAGCTCATCCCCACTCCCACCCCAATGGCACAGGGTGTGTTCTTCGCCTTCCTTGGCATGTTCCTCAACTGCCCTGGGGATGCCGGACCCTGCGATGCAGGATTATCTGCAGGTAAGAGAAACCTGGGGCAGGGCAGTAGGGTTTGGGAGAAGAGAGCCTCTTACTGAGTCCTGAGGTCACGGCACCTGGCAGGCCTCTCCGGAGTTGGGGTGTCATGCTCCTCTTAGGGATGACTGAATGGAGGCACCACATAAGCTGCATGTCCTGGTTCCCCAAGCTGCATGACTACAAAGCGGCAGGAGTGGGATTCAGCCTGTCCTTCAGGAGATGCCCAAGGAGGGGAGAGAGATGTCGGGTTCCTCCAAGTCAGGCAACACAGAAGTGGCTGGGCAGTCACTTCCTGCCTGAGACCTTAGTCTCCCTGTCTGTCATCAGAGCGGGTTGTGCTAGCCTGTCCCTGAGCTTTAGCTCTCGAGTCCCCCGTTCTCTGGAGCCCAGAGCCTGGCCTGGGTCCCAGTCCTGTTTTCTGTGCATGCTCTGCCCCCTGGAGGGTCTCGGCGGTAGTACAACAGGAGAAGGGGTGGAGAAGGGAGGCTAGTTATGGGCTGGGGGCCTCTTTCTGATGGACCCTGGCTGTCTGCCTCCCAGGGGAATCCCAGATCAACCTCCAGAAAAGGAATGGGGTGAACATCTGTGGCACTCACTGCAGGAGGAGCATTGCGGGGGGTGGGGAATCAGAGCCCCCCTGCCCCAGGCAGGACACACCCGGGAGTTAAATAACAGACAAGTGGGAGACCCATCAATTTGGTGGGTGGGATAAGTCCAACTTTCTGAGGAGGAGCTATTCACACCCATCTCTGAGAATAGGCAGGACCTGGAGGGAATTGGAGGGTTTCCATGTGTACAAAGACCCAGGACCGGCCTCCTAGCTCTCCTCCTCCCCCCCCCCCCACAATGCCCTACTCAGGCCCTGTCTGCATCTGTCCTTCCCTCTGGCCCCAGGAATACAAAGTAATGAGGGGGATCCAGCTGCTCCACATGGCTGCAAATCATCACGACCTTGAGCCCGAGGAGCAGGCTGAGGCCGGGTTCCAGGATACGGAGTGGCTCAGGGAGGATGAGAGGTGAGCCCAGGGAGTAGTTGAGCAAGAGCGGATATAGACTCTCCCTGGTGGCTGGTCCAGAGAGTCTTTGGACATGACTGTCCGGCTAACCCCAACCTCATTGCATGGTGACTGCTGGGACAACTAGACCCCAGCTGCTGGGCAGGCACTGGGAGGGACACCGGAGGTGTGGCTCCTGATGGGCTCCTGGGTGCCACTCCGTCCTGTAGCTATGCTTTGTCCTGCCGTGGGAGCTCCAGTCCTGTTTGGCCAGCAGAACATTCAAGGACAAAAAGAACTGGCCATCAAGAAGCTCAGGGCTGAGTGCGTGTCCAGGCTTGGCAGTAGCTGAACCCTCGGGCCCAACTAAGCATGCTCCTGGGGAGTGAAATTCCAGCTCCGCCACTGACCAGTCCTGCATCTGGGACTTGTAGTTGCATCAGCACTAAGTAAAGGAATAAATGTCAAGAGATCAAACCTTGCACGTGGGAAGGACAAGACCAGAGGAAGATAATTTGCAAATGGACGAAGTCCCAGGACTTTCCAGCCGCAGTCTCCTTCTAGGGGCTCTGTGTGTCCTCTTGACCTACATTAGAATCCTCCTGGGAGCCTTGCCCATGACCTCCGTGCTCCTTTTCCTACTTGCTTCTTGTGCAGGGCAAAGATTTGTGAGGTCCCTTTCAAGGTGACAGCTGGGCCTCGTTCCAAAAACATTTACGCTACCTATACACTAGGATCTCCAGCATTCCTGCATCGCGTTATCCAATTCTTTTTAAGACAGACATTCCCTAGAGGCCCCAGCCTGATAGATCACAGATAGCTTCTGCTTTGCCAGGCTTAGGGTCCATATACTTAGCCATGGGCAGACCCCTACACTCTCCCTTGCTGGCCAAGATGACTTCTGGGGCAGAGTCTACTAGTAGGTCTAGAAGCAAATAGGGCTGGTGAGTGTAGGTCCTGAGGAAAATCAGCCATTATTTGCAAGGCAACTAGCTGAGGAGAGACCATCCTTGGCTCCTTTCTCCCAGCTGAGAGCATCCTGAGAGGTAAACAGACATTAATCACATCACCACAAAGTATCAACATTGCAAATAACAATAACTGATATTTATTGAGTGTAGGATGTAGCAGGCACTAGCTTAGGAGTGTGTGTGTATTAAATGCTCATTTTATCCTCAAAATAATTTGGGGTGTTGTAGGCATTACCCTTTTTATTTGTAAGGAAAAAAACAGCACAGAAAGACAGAGTCATTTAGCTGGTGTCACATAGCTAAAAGTGGTAGTGCGGGGATCCCAACACTCTATCCAGTTGTCTCGGTTTCTGAAGGCAGAATGACAAAGCTTGGAGGTTGCAAAGGTTAAATTAAAAGAGATAAGTCTGGCAAACATATCTAGCCACAGGACTAGGTTTACAGTAGATGCTCAATAATGATTACTGAATTTCAGTGGCTCTGGGATTTGAGAGGTGGATGGGGAATTCCCTCACCCTGTGGGTAGGTCCTCCTGGCACTGCACAGGTTTCACGAGTGACTCTGGTCACTTTGCACGAGTCCCGGGCCATCAGGGACCTTATGCGTGGGTGTGAAGACTGAGGGTAAGTACTGGGCTCTCCGCACAAAGAGAAATGTCCAGGCTTCCCAGCCTGGCATCTGGGCCTCTGTGGGTGGTCTAACCAGCCCCCAATACCCTGCCCTGCAAATACCAGAGGCCTCCCCTCCTCAAACATGCCTAAGGCTCTCCTGCTCCCACACCTTTGCTCTTGGCCCCCAACTAGAATGCCTGCCCACTCCCATCTCTGCCTCCACAGACAGGCAGCCTTCCCAGGGGATACCCTCCTTGTCAGATCTGTAGATCTTCTTTGTGACCAAGGCCCAGGTCAGTTCTGATCTGCTCCTCATCCCAGTGGCTATGGTAGGGACAGCCCAACCAGTAGGGTGTGCCTGCTCACCCTACTAGATTAGAGGCTGGGGACATGGATTTCCTTCTCTCCCACCACCAGAAGGCCTGGAAAGGGAGAAGCAACAAGGATCCTGTTGGATTAAAGCCATACTTTCTTCCAGAGAAAAACTGTGTCTAACAATTAAGCTCTTCTGGTGTACATTTTACCACCTTCTTCAGTGACATGAAGTTCTATCCTGTGGTCAAACTAAGTGCTTGTCCACACGGAACTCCCCAATGCTACCTCCTAAACATGGATAGTGGAAATCATTGTTGAGAAAAGACTTCAACAGAAATTCTCTTTAGTTCTTGATCTTTTTACCAAGGGAGTGGATTATTAGACCTGAGACTTCATGGTTCAGCCCAGGTGCCATCCCACGAGCGCCCGGTGCTGTGTGCAGTGGACAGGGACTGCATCCCCTCACACTGCAGGGGACAGCAGCTGGGTAGCCTGGGCCTTGTCACAGGGGCAGTAGTCCTGGAATGGCCTTGCAGCTGTGTTGGAGGTTACCGTCCGCTGTCTGAGCATGCCAACAGGATCTGGGTAAAGTCCCGGGAGCCATGACCTGATCTTGATTTTCTGAGCATGGCTAGTCTGGGATTGTTGACCAGGGTCTGTAACAGGAGCCACCTCGTCCTGGACCTGGTTGAGATTCGGGGACCTAGAAGTGAACCAGAGCAGACAGACTTGGGGGATGGGGCAGCTTGTCTCTAACCTCAGAAGCTCTAGGAGAAGCGGACTGGTAGGTGTGAGGTGCAGGAGAAGGAGCTGAACCAGGACTTCTGGGGACATGAGGGCGGCTGGAGGGATGTGAGTTTGTCCCAGAGCCAGATGTCTGCAGTTGGGAACAGTGATGAACATAGTCCAGACTGGTGCTCACAAGACATGGCTAATTGGTGGGCTTCCCAGCAGAAGGCAGAGCAGAGTAATAAGGGTGGGAGGGGTGGAGTAGACAGTACAGATAGATCCTTGAGGGGGCAGGAGATGGTAGCCAGAAGAGCCTGTGGTAAGCAAAACCAAGGCCCATCTGGCCTGAAGCCTGGGGTATGGGTGGGGTCTCAAACAAAGGGACTGGAGGACTTAGATAGCAGAACTAGAGCTCATTTCTGGGAACACAGGGGGAGCCCATTTGGAAGGACAAGGACACCACGCCTCAGGGGTCCCCTGGCCAGGTTGGCTGTGGGCTAAGCCTCCTGCTTTCCTTGGTAGAAGGTTCCCCAGGGCACAGAATATGGAGGAAGGGGGGCAGGGAAGGGGGAAGCTGGGACATCTCGGGGCTCCCAGAGAAGTTAGGGTCCTTGTTGTCCAAGCCCAGCATAGGTTCAGACAGGAGGCTTACCTGCTGACTGATTTAGGCACCAGTATTTGATGGCCCGCTGCAGCCTCCTCTCCCTGTGCCCTGTGATCAGGATGTTACAAAAGCTGACGAGCACAGGGTTGGTATGATAATGATCCACATAGAGCATGCCGATCCAGGCACTGAACCCTGAAATGCAGAAGGCAAGTCAGGCCAGGCAGCATGCCCTCTGTCCCATGACGCTTGAGCCTGTGCTTTTGATGACGTAACTGTTGTGCCACTTTGTTCCTAGATGGTGCCCCTGTTTTCACTGGGAATCTAGAAAATTGGGTATGAAGAGCAAGAAGGTTCTCAAGATGGCGCTCTAATCCATCCCTTTTGCGGAGAGCTTGAAGCCGAAAGCGGGAGGAGCGCTGTGCTCAGACAGAGGCTGCCAGGCATACAAGGAATGGGTGAGTGAATGAATGGACACAGGTCAGAAAGAAAACCAAAACGATTTTTGCTCTACAGAAACGGCTTGATTTGGGAGTCTTTCTTAACTGAACAGACCATTTTCTTAACTAAGTTTCCAGCTAATGAATGACACCACTAATTCTGAGACGTGTTCTTTCTCAACATTATCAGAGCTGTGCATTCATAAATTAATTACCTTCTAACTGTTCAGATGGAATTCTAGTACTTCTTACTGCTCTCCACGATACCTCAAAGGTCTGTCAAATATGCAGCCATTTACTAGCCTGAATTCTCTTCTGACCATTAGGCTGAATGTTTTTTTTCTGCTCAGCGTTAGAGCCTCCATGAGAAGCTGAGCTCTGAGCAGAAGGAGGAGTGTGAAGTCCAAGCCTCTGGTACTCGACCGGCAGGCAGCTTCCCGAAAGCTGCCAGACCAGCCCCACCCCCCACCCCCGACTCAAAGCGCAGCCACCGGGGACCAGCCACTCACCCATGTCTGCCCCCTCATAGCCATTCTGCATGATGGTCCTGTCGATGCGCGCGATCAGCCACGTGCCCAGGATGCAGCTGATGAGCAGCCTGGAGAGACAAGCGCCCAGGCCCAGCAGCACGTTGTAGAAGAACAGAAAGTAGTTGAAGTTGTGGAACACTTTCCTGCAAACAGAAGCAGGCAGAGGGCCAGCACCCTTTCAGGAGGAGGAGGTGGCTAGGCAGGGTGGCTCAGGGCCCCATCCTGCAGCTCCCATCTCCTAGCCCTGTGACCTTGACGGTCCCCACCACACAGCAGCAGTATGGGGACCGGCTCAGATACAGCGCAGAAGGTGCTGAACCCAGCGCAGCGGGATTGTCTGCGGTGGCTGTGATGTTTCATGGGATCCCTGGGTTTTGAGGTTTCCTGTACAAGAAATCTCATGTGGCTACAGCTGGCTTTGGCGTTATAGCAGAGGTTGTGGCTTTCCCACTGTCTGTTGTCACAGTGACCTGCCCCCCCGCTGGAACTGCTCCAAGTCTCCCAAAGGAAACTTCCCAGATGGCCACTGGATTGTGTGGTTTCCTGTTGCCTATGGGTGGGATGAGGCCCAAACTCAGCATCCTGGATTTCTGGGCCATCCTTGAGAGGGGCCTTTCTGGGGCCGTCACTCTGTGCCCCCTCCCTGCCCCTCACCATCCAAGGCCACTGCATGGCCACCATATTGGATTCTCACTGTTCTCTCAAGACGTCTCGCCCTTTCGCCACTGCCTGTCTCCATCTGTGCCCTGAGGGCTGCCAACCACACCGTCTCCTCAGCAAGACCTGCAGGAACTCACCAGCCTACGGAGCTCAGCTCAAACGTCCCACCTGCCGCTGAATAAACCATTCCTGCCTCTTTCTCCATTACCTGCGTCGCTCTTGTGAGGCTGTTACCCCCTCTGGAGTTGACTGTCGCCATGTGTCTACCGGCCCCTATGGACTGTGAGCTGCCGCAAGCAGGTCACATAGGGATAGCTGTGTATCCTTAATGCCCGCATTGTTGCCTCCCTGAGTGAAGGGCTTTGAGTGAGTGAACTACAAAGGAAAACCTTGGACCAGGCACTATTGTTCTAAGTTCATATTTTAACACATTTTATGCTCCGAATACCTCTCTGAGGTGCGCAATTATTTGTAAAATGAGGAAACTGCAGTTCGTGGGTGTTCAGGAATGTCACATATGGTCCCATAGCCCACAAGGGGTGGAGCCAGGATCTGGACCCAGGCAGTTCGGTTCCAGAGCCCACTCCTGGACCACGGCCCCTCTCCCTCTCAGGGAGGGTATGGTCCTCCCAGGAACCTGCCAAGGGGGAAGAGGAAGGGACAAGGGGCTGCTGAAGCCAAAGCCTCTAATCCCCATTCTCTTCGTTACCCTCACCTGTTGTTGAGAGCCAAGGGTTTCTGCCTGTCAGCCGCACTCATCTTTGGCTGTAGGAAGAAGGTGGCAGCGATCCACACCTGCAGGATCACGAGACCCAGGACGATGGATATGGTGAGGCTGAAACACAGGGCGAGACGGTCCTGAGGTGGCCTTGTCCAGGCCCTTCTCCAATGCCCAGTGACAGAGAGGACAGAGACGGGACAGCCCGCTGGGGCAACAGTAGCTCTGGCTCTGTGCTTTATGCCTCCAGAGTATTCTCACACCCGCTGTTTGATGAGAAAATGGAGGCTCACGAAGGGCAGATGACTTTCTCAAAGCCACACAGTCAGGTTTTTTGACTCCAGACCAGAATATGTGGCAGCTGGGCTGCGTGTTTAACAGCATGGAAATCAAAGAAAAGCATGGAGTTTTTCAAGAGTTCATGAAGGCCCTGAGAGTGGACGGGCAGGCTCCACCCAGCCTCCCACGTGGCTCTAGGGGAGGATGGAACCAAGGAGCTCAGAGCAGGGAGTTCCCAGAGAGGGCCACATGCTGGGTTTGCATCCCCCGAGCAGCCATGTGGGGCGGCATTTAAATGGGGCCTTGGCTTCCGATTGCTAGCTCCCAACCCTGCCTCTTCCCCTCCTTGGACAAACTGGTGAGGCCTCGGGTGCCTCTGTTTCCTTGTCTGAAAAACGGACCTTAATATGAGACCCAACCTTCCAAGGGTTCACAAGAGAAAAGATGCATAGTGAATTCTCAGTAATGTCGGCCTTCACTTTTATCTTCCATATGGGTAAACTGAGGCTCCGAGAAGCTATTTACCCAAGGTCACACAGCTTCTCTAGAACCCAAGCTCAGATTTCCTTTCTCCTTCTACTATACTGCCCTGACTCCCATGTCACCTCCCCAAACTTCAATCTTCCCAGCTATAAAATGGACACATGTGTATCCCCCACAGACACAACTGTGAGCACCCCACTGAACAGCAAGAATGGAAACATTTTGTGAACTGTAAGGTTCCCACTGTGATGAGTTGCTCTTTTGGCCCATCCTTGGGTCAGAACTGAGAGCGTGGGTCCAGGAATTAGTGAGATCCCAACAGGGAAGGGGCATTTTGAACAGCAGCTTTGAGGGTCTGCCAGCTCCTAGGCCCCAGGCAATGACAGGGAGCCCACCCAGCACTTACATCCCGATGCCCAGTCCTTGGAGCATCTCCAGGCCCTGGTTGTGGATGACAGGCAGCACCAGACTGTACATGATCCCCATGCCACACAGGCTCTGCACCACGTGGATGATGAGGTAGCCTGTGGGCCAAGGGAACCCAGGGTCAGTCAAGGCCCTTCATGACCCGGTCATACATGTCCCTCCCTGAAGTCCCCCCTCTAACCTCCTCCCACCAAAGGTCCTGGCATTTTTGCTTGTCCTGTTTCTTCTGCCTGGCATGACCATCCTCCTGCTGCCTTCTGCTCGCCCTGCCAGATACGGCTCAAATGTCAACTCCACTAGAAAGCATTCGTGTCCTGCCCTGGGTGTGGAGAGTCACTTCCTCTTCTCCGTCACCACTGCCTTTAGCATTTCCAGCCCACGGGCTTAGGACAGGAGGTAACGATAGCTATGTGAGTGTGGGATTCTCCCTCCCTCCTGAAGGAGAGAGAACAAGGGCTGCTTTGCCTCGCCTCTCATCTCTCTACACACAGCCAGGACTCCGCGGGCGCCCGAGGAATGGGTGTTGAATTGAATAGGTCACGTGAGGACACTTACCCCACAGAATATAGGCTATCTGCCAGCCAGAGTACCTTGCAATGGCCACCTGAGATTTAAAAATAAAAAGGGGTCTCAGAGGGGAGAAAACATCGATCACCTCTAACACATGGGTCCAGCATCCCTGCCTCATCTGAGGTTCACCCACCAACACACCAAGGCGGGGGGGGGGGTTTATGATTGTCATCATTTCACAGATGAGGAAACCAAGGGCCAGATGGGTCACCCAGCAGCAGAGCATACTAGAAGTGAGGCCTATGGACTCCCCATCCAGGGCTCTTCCCCAGGCTGCTACCTTGTCCCAGCTGCAAGAGAGCAGGATTCGGCCAATCACTTAGTCTCAGAGCAGAGAGGGGTCTCAGAGGACTTACCACACTCTCTGCCGACGAAGGATTATGGAACTTCAAAGGGAGAAAGTGTTTATTTCCCGCCCACAACCTCTTCATGTGCTTTCTAGAGAAAAAGTGGGAAATTAGGAATGTTCATAACCACAGCTCCTTATGTACTTAGAGCTCAACAGATATAGACAGAAAAGCCTGTGGAGGGAGATGGTGGCTGGCTCGGCTTCCCTATATTGACCACAGCTCGTGGGATGGTTCTCATTAGTCTTAAAAATATTTTCAAAATACTTTTAAATTGAGATATAATTGACACATAACATTATGTTAGTTTCAGGCATACAACATAATGATTTGATATATATGTATATTGCAAAAACAGTCACCACAATGAGTCTGGTTAACATCCATCATCTTGCACAGTTACAAGCTTTTCTTTTCTTGTGATGAGAGCTTTTAAGATCTACACTCCCCAACTTTTAAATATGCAGTTTGGTTCTATTGCAAGAGTCACCATGCTGTATATCACATCCCCATGACATTTATTTTATAACTGGAAGCTTATGCCTTTTGACTCCCTTCACCCACACCTACCTCCGACAAGCTCAAATCTGTTCTTTGTATCCGTTAGCTTGTTTTTTTTGTTTTTAGATTCCACATATAAGTGAGATCATACAGTATTTGTCTTTCTCTGTTGGACTTACTTCACTAAGCATAACACCTCTTAAGGTCCATCCATGTTCTGCAAATGGCAAGATTTCATTTGTTTTTATGGCTGAATAGTATTTCACTGTGTGTGTGTGTGTGTGTTGTGTGTGTGTGTGTGTGTGTGTATGTGTATGTGTATCACATCTTCTTTGCCCCTTCATCCATCAATGGACTCGTAGGTTATTTTCTTATCTTGAATATCATAAATAACATGGCAATAAACATGGGGGTGCAAATATTTTTTTGAAATAGTTTTTGTTTTCTTCTCATAAATACCCAGAAATGAAGTTGTTGGATCATAGGATAGTCCTATTTTTACTTTTTTGAGGAAGCTCCATACTGTTTTCCACAGTGGCTGCACAATTTACATCCCCAGCAACAGTGCATGAAGGTTTCTTTTTCTCCACATCCTCGCCCGCACTGATTACTTCTTGTGGTTTGGGTACTACTAGTCATTCAAACAGATGTGAGGTGATGCCTCATTGTGGCATGGTCATACATTTAACATGGTCATACATTTCCCTGATGATTTAAAAATCTTAATATAGTTTGAAAAAGTAATATGTAGTTACCTAGCCTTGATGGGTGAATGTGATAGTTGAGACTCTGCATTTGGCTTTTATTTTCTTCAGTTTGCTCTATTTTCTTATTTGTTCTGTGATGAATATGTATTACTTATGTAATATTTCAAAACAGGTAATAATGGAAACCCATTTTTAATGATAGATCCACCTTATTACAACATAAACGAAACTGAAAAAGGGACCACAGCCCCTCATGCTCCCAGCACCTGCACAAACCTCTGCATGCCTTCCCCATGTGCTGGTCTCGGCCTGGCCCTTTGCATAAACATTAGGTCAGCGATGGTTATGTTCATGGTCCACATTCACATGTGTCTTGCTTTTCCCCCCACATCCTATCTCCAGCATTTTCCAGGATGTTTTGCAATTTTATGACCACTAAATTGGGAAGACTTAGTATGAAATAAAGAATGTAAATATCCCACTGATAGCTTATATATTTATTATATGATGAAATGATGGTTTGAGGTTATGTTGGGCTAAATAAAATATATTATTAAATTATTCTCACCTCCTTCTTTAACTTTTTACTAGTGTCTATTAGAAAATGCAAAATTGCGTCTGTGACTTTCACTGTTTCAGCTCGGCAGCACTGGAATAGAGCATGTGCCACCAGGAATACAAACACACAAACACACATATATGTGCGCGAGGCATAGATAATTTCTGGGAGGACACAGGAAGTGAATAATGTTTAGCTCTGGGGCAACAAACTGGGATGTGAATGGCAGAAAGACTTTACACTAAATATTTTTATAACTTTTTTTTTAAAAGAGGCTGCATACAGATAGGAATAATTCTAAGAAAAATAAAAACACTAGCACAGTGCTAGCGCTGTCCAGTTGTAGGGGTTTCTTATCCACTATTTCCTTCACCCCACGGTCCTGTAAAGCAGACAGGGCAGGGATCATCAGTCCTCAGCCACAGGGATGGGAGGGAGGAGCCAGCCTGGACAAGGATAAGGCCTCCCTGCCACAGGTGCCTTCCCTTCCCTGTGCCCTCCACCCATGTCAGTGCAGCCACCTCTGAAAGGTGGTTGTTACTGGTTGTGGTCCAATGTCTCACTGATCATCTCCCAGGCACTTGCAGTCCACTGAAGGAAGGAGCAGGTATATCCCCACATCAAGGGGGGCAGGGGAGAGCAGTGGTGTCTAGTCCACCCAGAGGGTCCAGGGACAAGAAAGCAGAGAGAAGGAGCAAGCTAGGTCTGTGAAGGAGAGCTGGGGCCTCTTTGTGCCAGGAGAGTCCTTACTTGGATGCCCTCTGCAAGAGACCCACCCTTTGGGCAGCCAGATGGGGAGGGTGTAAAGGCAGAATGCTTCGGAGGGGTAGGAGGTGGCCCTGGGCCTCCTGTGACTGCATGTGAGTTAGAGACTGAGGTGGGGGGAAGGAAGAGCTGAGAGACAGAGAGAGACTGAGAGACAGACAGAGAGAGGAGGGAGGGCAGACACCTAAAATTCAACTGCTATCTGCAGGGAAATGCTCACTACATATTGAAGGCCATCCCTTCCTCCTGCTCTGCTCTTCTAGAGACTGATGCACCCGGTGCCCTTGACCCGGTCTCCTTTGATAACCCCTAGAGCCGGATGTACCTGCTGGGAACCCAGTGTGGTTAGTCCTGGGGAGCAGGGCAGGTCTGACCCCTAACAGAGATGCTGAGCGTACAAGAAGCAATAAGGCCTCTCGGGGTAGAAGACATGGCCAACTGCTAATGGCGTGGGTGAGTTATTTTGTTAAGTCTCAGCCTTCTCAGCTGTAAAAACAGAGATGAAAGTGCCTCTCGGGGTTGTGGTGAAAATCAAAAGATTCTTTTTTAAAAAATATTTATTTATTTATTTATTTGAGAGAGAGAGAGAGAGCATGCGTGCCAGGGGAGGGGCAGAGGGAGAGGGAGGAGGAGAGAAGCAGCCTGCCCGCTGAGTGGGGCTCAATCCCAGGACCCTGAGATCATGACCTGGGCCAAAACCAAGAGGTGGCTCCTTAATCAACTGAGATCCCCAGGCTCCCCTAAAAATCAAAAGATTCTAAGCACAATGGTAAGCTTATAGTAGAAGCTCAAATCAATTAGTTTTTTGGTTTGGGGTTTTCTGTTTTACAACCAATAGATGTGGCTGTTCCTGGATAGCATATACATTCACGGTTCCAATCTGGGCACTGCTGTCACCACTCAGGAATTTTTAGAAAATCCTGGCTGAAGACAAACAAATGGCTCCCAGAGCTCTCTTACCTGTAACAGGCCAATATGTGGAACAGATAGCTCACACACGTGAGGGAGGCGGGCAAGATGGTCACCAGCCAGACTCCTGAAATAGAAGAAGTCACAGGAGAGGCCTGAGAAGATGAGCCAGAAACAGTATTTTCAAATTGCGGATGCTCACATCAGAAAGGGCTGGGCAAACACATTTTACTTCCTTTAACATATTTCTTGTGTAGATAAAGTTTTGCTTCTATTTCTGTCTCATTTCAGACACACACATCCTTGCTATACTTTACTTCTTGCACAAGCCTCTCCTTGGACATTAAGATTTTCCATTTACAGTGAGTAAGGGAAGAGAAAATGAGGGAGTATACACAGGTAGTTACCTTCCATCCTCGTAAAACGATTACTTTGCCACCCCCAGTAAAGAACAACCATGCGCAAGGATAACTAGAATCAAGACGTCTTGACTATTCTTTCATCCCTCTTTTGGCAAGTTTTTAATATGTTGTGTCTAATCTGCTTTCACGTGATCCTGTGTGCTTGTGAGAAAGGGAGGGAGAAACGGGGAAGGGGTATGATGTGTACGTATAAAAGCTTCTGGACAAGCTGTTTATCAGTCGGTCCACAAAAACCATTTAAAAAAATCCAAGAGCTCTTCATAATTAAAAACACTCCATAGTGTAGAAACAGAAGAAAACTTCCTCAACCTGGTAAAAAGCATCTGCAAAAAACCCACAGCTAACATCATGCTTAACAGCAAAAGACTGAATGCTTTCCCCCTAAATTCAGGAATAAGGAAATCAAGGTCCACTCTTGCCAATTCTATCCAACATTGTACTGGAGGGTCTAGCCAGGGAAATTAGGCAAGAAAATGCAGCCTGGCTGCAAAGGAAGAAATAAAACTACCTCTGTTCATCAGTGACATGTTCTTATATTTAAAAATTTCTAAGGAACGACAACAACAAAAAAGAAACAAACCAAAAAAAAGATTCAAACTCATTAATAAATGAGTTCAGCAAGCTTGCAGGATACAAGACAAATATATAAAAATTAACTGTATTTCTGGACACTGGCAATGAACAATCTGAAAATGAAGAAAACAACTGCGTTTGCATTAGTATAAAAAAGAATAAAATACTTAAGAATAAACGGAAGAAGTATGCAACTCGTACACTGAAAACTACAAAAGATTGTTGAAAGAAAGTTAAAGATTTAGATTAATGGAAAGATATGCTATATTCATGTATAGGATGTTCTTTGTTAACATGGCAATACTCCCTAAATTGATCTAAAAATTCAACCCAATCCCGATCAAAATTCCAATGCCATTTTTGCATAAATTGACAAGCTAATCCTAAAAGTCATATGAAAATGAAGGGACCTAGAACAGACAATACAATCTTGAAAAGGAAGATGAAAATTGCAGGACTCACATTTCTTGATTTCCAATTTACTACAAAGCTACAGTAATGAAGATAGTGTGGTACTGCCATAAAGATAGATAAATAGATCAATGTAATAACTGAGAATCCAGAAGTAAATCCTCATCATCAGTGTATTTTCAACAAGGATTAAAAAGACAATTCAATGGGGAAAGAATATGCTTTCAACAAATGGCACTGGGGTAACTGATATTCACATGCAAAACAATGAAGTTAGAACCTTACCTCACAGCATGTACAAAAATTGACTCAGAAAGGGATCATAGATTTAAATGTAAAAGCTAAAATTATAGAAGTCTCAGAAGGAAATATGAGAATAAATCTTTGTGACCTCAAGTTAGGCAATGTTTTCTTAGATACACACATGTGATAAAAGAAAAATTAATATGCTGGACTCCAACAAAGTTAAAAACATCTGTGTTTCAAAGGACACCATCAAAAAAGTGAAAAACCAACCAACAGAATGGGAGAAAATATATAAATCTTGAGGGATTTATATTAATTAATATAAAGAATTCTTACAGCTCAATAATTTAAAAATAGGCAAAGAATCTCCATGGACATTATTCACAGGAGATGTACAAATAGCCAATAAGGACATGAAAAGATTCTCAACATCATTAGACATCAGGGAAATGAAAATCAAAACCACAATAAGCTGCCATTTCACACTTACTAGATAGCTATTATTAAAAAACAAAAAACATACCAACATGTGTTGGTGAAGATATGGAGAAATTGGACCCCTGATATATTGCTGGTGGGAATACACAGTGATGCAGTTGCTTTTGAAAACAGTCTGGCAATTCCTTGACAGGTTAAATATAGTTACCATATGATACCAAATTCCACTCCTAGGTATACACCCAAGATATATGAAAATATATGAAAAACTTGGAGATGAATGTTCATAGCAGTATTACTCATAATAGCCAGAAAGTTGAAACAACCCAGATTTCCATCAACTGATGAGTGGATAAATACAATGTGGTATATTCATACAACGGAATAAATTCCAGCAATAAAAAATAATGAAGTTCAGTCACATGCTATGACATAGATAAACTTTGTAAACATTTGCTACATGAGAGAAGCCAATCAAAAAAGACCACGTATTGTGTGATTCCATTTATATAAGGAGTCCAGAAGAGCCAAATCCATACTGCCAGAAAACAGTGGTAACCTAGGGCTGGAAATGTTGAGGGGAAATGGGGATTGACTGCAAATGATTATGATTTCTTTTAAAGGTGATGAAAATGTTCCAAATTTGATTGTGGAGATGGTGATTGTTGAGAATATACTAAAACCACTGAATTGTTCTTTAAGTGGATGAATTTTAAGGTATGTGAATCGTATCTTTGAAAAGTTGTCTCAGGGGCGCCTGGGTGGCTCAGTCGTTAAACGTCTGCCTTCGGCTCAGGTCATGGTCCCAAGGTCCTGGGATCAAGCCCCGCATCAGGCTCCCTGCTCGGCGGGAAGCCTGCTTCTCCCTCTCCCACTCCCCCTGCTTGTGTTCCCTCTCTCGCTATGTCTCTATACATCAAATAAAGAAAATCTTAAAAAAAAAAAAAAGAAAAGAAAAAAGTTGTTTTAACAAGAAGGAAAAAGAAAAGTGATCTCCATTCCTTCCAAATTTTATATGTGTCTCTGTCCCAGCATCAACAGGATTAGGCAATTACTATATCCCAAACCTCAACCATCACAAAGGATGCAGGTAAACCACCATATATCTCACCCCTGGGGGCACGGGGAGCCTTGAAAGAAAGGAGGGGAGGAGTCGGGCCACAAGCAGAGTGAGCGCAGACTGACACCAGCCAGTAGCAAGAGCATGACTGACTGCACACTTTTAATTTAATGCCTTTATCTTCCCAAAGATGAAGCATGTTCAGCTTAAAAGTCTCTCTTGGCCAGAGGGCAGCCGTGTTAAAGCTGAAAAAGATCAAGATGTAGTGAAAATTTTATGTTTTGACTCTCAAAATATCTAAACATGTGAGAAATACATGGAAGAGGGGGTAAATGACATATTTACTCCAGTTCACCCAGAGCAAGTAACTGAGGTTGGCATTAAAAACTTGCCTAGAAGAGGGGGGAAATGTAAACTTTAAAAACTATGGCTTAGGGGCGCCTGGGTGGCTCAGTCGGTTAAGCGACTGCCTTCGGCTCAGGTCACGATCCCGGGGTCCCGGGATCGAGTCCCGCGTCGGGCTCCCCGCTCAGCGGGGAGTCTGCTTCTCCCTCGGACCCTCCCCCCTCTCATGTGCTCTCTCTCTCTCATTCTCTCTCTCAAATAAATAAATAAAATCTTTAAAAAAAATTAAAAAAAATAAAAAAAATAAAAACTATGGCTTAAAATTAGTATGATTGAACTTAAAGATCAGACTATGCTTGCTGAGTGTTGTACTCAGGGACTTGTCGGGCTAAGCATAAACCTACATTAGAGATGAATACGAATGTTCAAGGGCAACAATAAAGTATGTTTGTATGGAGGCGGTGCCCCAGTGCTCACATAAGAGTAACTTTCCATGTCATGTGTATGAAAGAGAATTTCCCTCAAATAATTCACAGGAGATCTATTTCCTTCTGGTTGCAGTACTCTACCAGATTATGAGTCTTAAGTAAAAATATTTGCAACACCTGTTTCATGACTTATGGACCATTTGGTAATTTATGGCCATTAAATGTTGGTGCTACAAAGGCTGTTGGAAACCACTTCACACCCCATTCCAAGCCCTCATTTAAGGATGAGGAAGCCGAGAACAAGAAAGAGGAAGGACCTGACTTGTCTGACGACAGAGTTTACCTGACATCTAGTCCACGGCTTTTCGAAGCAGGAAAGAGGGAAGAACTCTCCTCCCTCCATGGGCAATAGACACAGAATTAGAATGTCGTTTTCAAAGAAAGCTGGTATCTTAAGGTAAAGTGACTGCTATGGACAGATTCATATGTCGAAACCCTAACCCCCAGTATGATGGTATTTAGAGATGTGGCTTTTGGGATTAGTGCCATTATAAGAAGAGACAGGAGACAGACAGCCTGCTTCCTCTCCCTACTCTCTAGCACTGAGGATACAAAGAAATGACCGTCTGGAAATCAGGAAGCGGGATCTCACCAGACACCAGATCTGCCCGCACCTTGAACTCCCCAGTCTCCAGAACTGGGGAATAAGTAAGTGTTTGTTGTTTCTACTACCCAGTCTATGGCAATTTGTTATAGCAGCCCGAACTAAGCAGAAATTAAATTTGAACAGCATAAAAAATTTTTCCATAAACCTAAAGAAAAGCCATGACTTGCTGTTTTATTTTTTCCAAAGTGGCAAAGAGATGATGATTTTAGTTGTTTCCACTGGCATCAAAACAAAATAGGCTATTTAAAATGAGAGAATTCTCAGGGCATGTTCAATTCAGCCCCAAACGGATTTTAACAAAATGGCCCGGATCCCGACCCCATTGGCCTTCTAGTCACCCAGGGAGGCATATATCAGTTGTAACCCACTTGTCTCCCAAACCAGGTACCTCATGCAGATAATAGCAATGCTACAGCAATAATTATCCCAGGTGTGTACCTGTCACCAGTTATAAATTATAAGTCCTTCTCCCAGTTTCCCACGCTTTCCCAACAAAGGTGGAGGAATGGTTGTACCTTTGGTGACACTCATCAGCTCTTTCACCTGCAGGATGACTGGAGTCAGGGTTCCTGTCTGGTTCACGGAGGTGATGTAGCTCTCCAGCTCCCCTTCAAACACATCCAGCTCGTCTCTCACATACACGAACACGCAGAACTCAATGATAATGAACTGATACAAAGAGCAAACATTTCAACGTCACACCTGAGTCCAGCCTAGTAGGTGAATAGCATATGGATCACTCTTTGGTTTTGAGATCAAAACTCTTTGAAGTTCCAAACAAATCTGAAATAGACTCTGGACAGTGGCTATCGCAAGATGAGTGGGATTGTGACTTCTTTGAAGACTTTTTTGGAGTCACTTCAAACTCTTTTCTTCACCCAATAGCATACAAGACTAGGTCCTACAAGGGCTCAAGGAACTCTTCATTAATTATATCCAAGTGAAATGACTGCCTAACTGTGACCAAGGAGTGCCCTTGGGGACAATTCCAGCCGTATCTCTCACCGCTGTCCATCTGGCGTCTTGGTTTTAACCACGTTAGAGAAGGTGCTGTTTCCTGTATGCATGTCACATGTGCTCACTCCCATCATCCTGTCATCATGGCTCCATGCCTCCCAGCATCACGCCAAAGCTTCTAGAGTTCCTATTACCATTTTACTTCATCAACCAAATTTTGTTTGTCTTTGAATGTGCAGCTCCAAATGTCACCATCTTCAGGCAGTGTCTCAATCTAGGATAATCACTAAACTTTCAGAGCACTTTCACCTTTTTTCTCTCTTTACACGGCAGGTACTTCATACCACATCATATCCCCTTCTCTTAGGCCATGGGTCTCTTCCAGGCCAAGACTCTGCTGAACCAGCTGTCTTCTCTCTTCCATGTCTTAGCATGGTGCTTGGCATTCAGTAGATAACCACCCAAGACTTAAGGAACACAATAACTCCAAGTCAGTTATTCATATTGCAGAGAACTCCAGTTGTCCATTAAAATCCATTCTCCCCTTCTTTGGGCACAAACCTGGACTACCTTTCCCAGCCTCCCTTGAGTTAGATGTGGCCACATGACATGGTTCTTGCCCATGGAAGAGGAGTGGAAGGAATGTGTGCTATTCCACACGGGCCTTTGAAAACCTTCCACATGCATTTCTCCATGCACCTCCCCCTTCTGCTGACTGGATGCAGAGGGTGAGGGTTCTTAGAGATAATGAGGCACATGATGAAAGAATCTAGGTTATGGAGTAACACGCAGAGGACTGCTGCCCCCAAAACCTGAACACCCACTCGAAATTGTTACATGGCAAAAATATATACAGTGTTAAGTCACTGAAATTTAGGGGTTTATTCAGCATTACTTAACTAATACATTCGTTTAAAACAATCACAGGATTAATTTACATAGGTATCATCCAGAAGACAATTTGGTCTTACCATTTCTATCTCTCCATGTTGACCCCACTTTTGACTCAGACATTTTACCCCAGGAAACTTTGACCACATGAAATGTTTTGATCCCATGCTTAATAAAATATTAAAGTCAGAATTACGCCAACATTAAAATTTTTTTTTTGTTGAGAAAACAAACTTAAATAAGGCACCTATGCTGAAACATGATTATCACCCAAAACCCCATAGTTCCCACTAGGGTACACTCTTGGTGTTGCACATTCTATGGATTTGGACAAACATATAATGACATGTATCTACCATAATAGTATCATACAAAGTATTTTCACTGCCCCAGAAATCTTCTGTGTTCTGCCTATTCATCCCTCCCTCTTCCTAACCCCTGGAAACCACTGATCTTTTACTGTCTCCATAATTTTGCCTTTCAAAATATCACACAGTTGGAATCATACATTGTGTGACCTTTTCAAATTGGCATCTCTCACTTACTAATATGCATCTAAGTTTCTTCCATGTCTTTTCATGGCTTGATAGTTCATTTCCTTTTAGTGCTGAGTTGTATCCCATTGTCTGTATGTACCAAAGATTATTTATCCATTCACCTACTGAAGGGCTCTTGGTCACTTCCATATTTTAGCAATTATGTATAAAGCTGCTATAAACATCCACGTGCAGGTTTTTATGTGGACATAGTTTTTAGTGGGTAAATACCAAGGAAGGTGATTGCTGGATCACATGGTAAGAGTACATTTAGTTTTGTCAGAACCCACCCAAGTATCTTGCAAAGTGGCTGTACCATTTCCATTTCCACCAGCAATGAATGAGAGTTCCTGTTGCTCCACATCCTTATCTGCATTTGATGTTCTCAGTGTCCTGAATTTTGGCATTCTAACAGGTGTGTAGTGGTATCTCATTTTTGTTTTAACTTGCATTTTCCTGATGACATATGCTATAGAGCATGTTTTTGGGTTTTGTTTTATTTTATTTTATTTTATTATGTTATGTTAATCACCAGATATTACATCATTAGTTTTTGATGTAGTGTTCCATAATTCATTGCTTGCGTATAACACCCAGTGCTCCATGGAATACGTGCCCTCCTTAATACCCATCACTGGGCTAACCCATCCCCCCACCGCCTCCCCTCTAAAACACTCAGTTTGTTTCTCAGAATCCACAGTCTCTGATGGTTCGTCTCCCCCTCCGATTTCCCCCCCTTCATTTTTCCCTTCCTACTATCTTTTTTTTTTAACATATAATATATTATTTGTTTCAGAGGTACAGGTCTGTGATTTATCAGTCTTACACAATTCACAGTGCTCACCATAGCACATGCCCTTCCCAATGTCCATCACCCAGCCACCCCATCCCTCCCACCCCCCACCACTCCAGCAATCCTCAGTTTGTTTCCTGAGATTAAGAGTCTCTTATGGTTTGTCTCCCTCTCTGGTTTCATTTTTCTGTAGAGCATGTTTTTAAAAGCTTATTTGCCATCTATCTTCTCTGTGAGGTGACTATTAAGGTCTTTGGTCCATTTTTCAATCTGGTTATTTATTTTCTTCTTATTGAATTTTAAGCACTCTTTGTATATTTTGAATAACAGACTTTATCAGATGTGTCTTTTGCAAATATTTTCTCCCAACGTGGCTTGTCTTTTTGTTCCCTTGACATGGTCTTTTGCAGAAGAAAATGTTTTATTTTAATATGAAGCCCAGCTTATCAGTCTTTCATGGATTGTGTCTTTGGTGTCATATCTAAAAAATCATCACCACTTCAGTGTAGAGAACAAACTGATGGTTACCAGAGGGGAGGCGGGTGGAGGGATGGGTGAAGCAGGTGAAGGGGAATAAGGAGTGCACTTGTTGCGATGAGCACTGGGTGATATATAGAATAGGTGAATCACTATACCGTACACCTGAAATAATATGTTAACTATACTGGAATTAATAAAAACACATACATAAATACATAAATTATTCACACTTACCAGCCCCTTAAATAAACGCTTGATAATGCCAAAAACAGTAACAATAATAAATTTAATTAAAAAAAATTAAAAGTCATCACCAAACCCCCAAGGTCACTTAAATTTTCACCTATTTTACCTTCTAGGAGTTTTATAGTTTTGCATTTGATGTTTAGGTCTGAGATCCATTTTAAGTTAATATTTATGAAGGTCTGTGTCCAGATTAATTTTTTTTTGCATGTGGCTGTCCAGTTGTTCCAGCATCATTTATTAAAAAGAAAATCTTAACTCCATTGTATTGCCTTTGCCCTTTTGTCAAAGATAAGCTGACTATATTTATGTTGGTCTATTTCTTAGATCTCTATTCTGTCCATTGATTCATTTGTCTATTCTTTTGCCAACACCACACTGTCATGATTAGTGTAGCTTTGCAGTAAGTCTTGAAATCGAGTAGTGTCAGTCCTTCAACTTTCTTCTTCTCCTTTAAAATTGTGTTGTCTATTATGAGTCTTTTGCCTCTCCCTGAAAACTTTAGAACCAGTTTGTCAATATCCACAAAGTAACTCCCTGGGATTTTGACTGAGATTTCATTGAATTCCAATATAGGTTCAATCCCAATATATGTAAATCAAGTTGGGCAGTACTGATATCTTGACAATATTGAGTCTTTCCATCCACGAATATAGGATATTTCTCCATGTATTTAGTTGATTTGATTCCTTTCAACACAGGTTTGTAATTTTCCTCATATAGATCTTATACATATTTTATTAGATTTACACTTAAGTATTCCTTTTGGGGGGATGCTAATGTAAATGATATTATATTTTTAATTTCAAATTTCCCTTGTTCAATGCTAATATATAAAAGAGCAATCGACTTTTGTATGTTAACCTTGTACCCTGCAACCTTGCTATAACTGCTTATTAGTTCCAGAAGTCGGGGTTTTTTTAAGACTTTAGGTAATCTCTGCACCCAACATGGGGCTCGAACTTACAACCCTGATATCAAGAGTCTACTGACTGAGCCAACCAGGCACCCCTTCAGGAGTTTTTTCATTGATTCTTTTGGATTTTTTACATACACAATCCTGTCATCTGTGAACGAAGACATTTTTACTTCTTCCTTCTCAATCAGTATACCTTTTATTTCCTTTTCTTATTACTTAGCTAGAATTTCCTAAGTAAATGTTGAGCGGTGAGAGGGAACAGTCTTGCCTTCTTCCTGATCTTAGTGGGAAAGCTTCTAATTTCTCACCATAAAGGATGATGTTAGCTGTAGATTTTTTTGTTGATATTCTTTATCAGATTGAGAAAGTTCCCCTCTATGCCTAGGTTGCTGAAAAATTTTCTCATGAACTCGTGTTGGATTTTGTTAAATGTTTTTCCTGCATCTACTGATATGATCATGTGATTTTTCTTCTTTCAGTTACTGATGTGATTGATTACATTAATTTTTTAATATTGTACCAGGCTTGCATATCTGAGATAAATTCCACTTGGTTGTGGTGTATAATTCCTTTCATATATTGCTAGATTTTATTTGTTCCATTCCATTGTGGTTCTCCTATCCACCTGTCTGTCTCCAATTTTAGGGGCAATAGTTTGCACCATGACTTCTCTTTTCTTATGCATCTAAGAAGAACTGTTGATTTTTCAGTTTGTCCGGATTTTTACTTGTTGTTAGGATGGAGTAGCTTCTTGCAAGCTATTTACATAGAATTGATTTAACTGGAAGTCTCCATAAATAATCCAATTTTATTTACTAGTAATACTCGCCATATGGGTGATAGTGTCCTTGGAGTAAAAATGATAGGGGTCAAAAAATTGTACTTCTTTGATTTACAGAGATTCAGTTTTGACCTAGCTTTTAAAGAATAAGCCCTGTCTTAACCCCACCCCATTTATGAAATAGAAAAGGATTTGTTCCAATCTACTTACAAGGTACAGGCATATGAAAGCCAACACAGTGGTTCCAATCATTCTGCTTGGGAACTGAAAGCAGGGATCCCACTCATAGATTCTGGTTTGGAACCAGGACTTTTTAATCTCCCTGTGAATGAATAAACAAGAAGAAAAGAGAGGCTGTGGTTGGTAAACAAATGTCTGATTCTTCTGAAAATAAACTCATTGCCTCTGCTTCATCTTAGAATGCAGTGAAGAGAAAGAATACTAGTAGATTCGTTTTCATTTTCCCCTCATTCTTAAGAACAGAGACTCAGTTTTACTCAATACAGCAATTCAGCAAACTAAAGGGCTATCACTCCTTTCTTACAGCTAAGAGTGAAAGACTAAGCACAGGCCAATCAGATGTAACCACAGTGTGGTATGGCACTTTGGGGGAAGGAGCTGAGGTAGAATTGACACAGCTGGGAGGCCCACTGCCCTTCCTTCTTTTCTCCTGCCCGCTGTCTAAAATGACGACACGGTGGCTGGTCCAACTTGGAGCCCACTCAGCATCTATCTTGGACATGGACAGCCTTCATGATGACAATCACTAAGAATGGCAGCAGAAAGATGATCAGCAAATTTCCATGGTGGGCAGTCCAGGGTCAGTATGAACTGCCTGCCTCCAGAATTCTTCTACATGAGAAAGGAAGAAATCTCCCTCTTGGTGTGTCCCACTGTCATTTTGCCTTTTCAGCTACACGTAAGCAAATGTAGTTCTAACCAAAGAATGAGTTTTGCCTCTGTATGACCTTGGACTAGCCACGTCCCTTCTCTGGGGCATATTCCCTTCGTACACCGTGGCAGTGGCAGGAATAGGTCACTGAAGACCAGTGCTTTTGTTTGGCCATGAGCTATGCCCTCTTGTATTGGTAACAGCACAACAGTCTTTCTCTGGGAACCTGCTCCCTCTCATCAGTCCTAGCGGTTAAGTGAGGCTGAACCACTTCCTAGTTCCAACGGCGAATATGTGACAGGCTTAATAATCCATTTACTCTAATCGTCTCGCCACAGTAATTGGCTTTGGGAAGACATGTGGTCCAATGTGATCCAATGAATCACAATGGGAGTTTGGTTTGAATTATTAGAAAAGAAAATTTCTTTTTCCTATGAGCTTAAACCAGGAGGGTATAAGCTTAGAGATTCCGGGGGCCACCACAGGGAGGAAGCCCACCTCACTACAAGGCTAACACACATCAAAGCAGAGCTAAGAGAAAATGAGGGAACTCGCCCTGATTCTGATATCAGTGAAGCCCCCAGATCCATCTGCTTCTGAGCTGACCACCTCTGAACTTTCTAGTTAAGGAAGGCCAACACATTTCCTTATTCTCTTTATTCTAGTTTGAGTTGAGTTTCTGTCATTAGCCAACAAGAGTCCTGACTACTCTGAGCCTTTCCAGTCGTCTCAGGGCTCGTCCACATGGGTGCAAACACGGAGGGGTGAACGAGGCACCCCGGGGCTTACTGCAAGGGGGGCTTCCTCAGGAGCCGTTTGACATGCTGTGCCTGGTGAACTTCCAGGAAAGGCTTTTCTTCCTGTGAGAAAAGAGACAGGTGTATGCTGGGGCTCACAAATCCTTGTGACAGGCTCTTGTCACAGAGGCCAGGAATTTGGGGAAAGCCGCTCTTCTGGATGGAGCAGAGGTTAAGAGAGAGCCTCAACAACCGAGCTCTCTGGTTGCAGTTCCCACTCTGCTCCAGACCAGCGACGTGACCTTAGGCGATACAACCCACCTCCCCGGGGCCATGTTTCCTCACGCGGAATGGGAGCAGTATATGTAGTGCCTCCCTCCCAGGGCAGCTGCGCAGACCAGCCCCGCGGGGACTCGCACAGGGCTCCCACTCGGGACTCACCATCTGCAGCTCCCAGCCCAGGTGGACCCTCAGAGCCTTGACAAACATATGCAGGAAGCGGCCCAGCAGGAAGGCCAGGCACAGCAGTGAGGGCCAGTAGAACAGGACCGTCTCGTACCTCCCCAGAAACTGCAACCGGAGCAGAGCATGGGGTGCGGGCTGTTGCTGGGCCAGGGCTGGGCCACCGGTGAAGCTGTGGATGTGGATCAGCCTGCCCCGGCCCACTCCCAGAGCTGGGCGGCCAGGGGTCCATCTCAGCTCCCCCAGCCCCACACCATGGGATGGGCCGTGGCCCACAGTCCAGCAGCCCTGGGTGTGAATCCTAGCACCCCCATTTTATTTTATACAAAGGGCTTTCATGGCTTCATCTGATCCGGGATTAAGTACTGCTACTTTTGGAAAATACACACAACAGAGAGGGAGAGAGAAAGAGGGGTAAGGAGAGGAAACAGGGAGGGGAGCACCGGAGAGGAGAAAGAGGGAGAGAGTAGAGAGAGAAGGAAGAAAAAAAGAAGGAAAGAAGGAAGAAGGGGGGGAGGGGAGGTTGGCAGCAACACGTGTCCAAAAGCACAAGTCTCTTGAGATGGTGCTCATAGTTTTCCTGTGATTTTAGTTTCATTTTAATGAAAAAAAAAAAACCACATACACACACAAAGAACTGTGATCACTGTTTTAGGACAAATAATATTGTGACTTATCTTTCATAATTTAGTGGTGTGGTTGGTTTTGTGGGATTTATTTTTTTAAGATTTATTTATTTATTAAAAACTAATGATGTAATGTATGGTGATTAACATAACAAAGAATTTAAACAAAGATTTATTTATTTATTTCAGAGACAGAGAGAGTGTGTGTGTGAGCAGGGGGAGGGGCAGAGAGAGAGGGAGAGGGAGAGAATCCCAAGCAGACTCCCTGCCCAGTGCAGAGCCAGACGCGGGGCTCCATCCCACGACCCCAAGATCACGACCTGAGCCAAAATCAAGAGTCAGACGCTCAACCGACTGAACCACCCAGGTGCCCCGATTTCATGGTTTTTTTTATTTCCAGAGCAATTGCCCCCATGGGGAGTCGGGTTTTGATGTTGTGCTGTTCCGCTGCAGGACAGAAGCAAGCTGAGATGCAGGGGCTCGTCTCCCCTTCATCCTCTTCTCCGATGTCTACTCACCACTTAGACATCAGACATCACCACTGCCAATATTCCAGTGTCTTTCCTCTCTATCTATCCTTACATGTATATTATAGATTTTTAGATATTATACCAAACACATAGGTCTGTACACATCATAATCAGCTCCCTACATGCTTACAAATTTTTTAAATGTTTATTTATTCATGAAAGTCAGAGAGAGAGAGAGAGAGAGAGAGAGAGGCAGAGGCAGAGGGGGAAGCAGGCTCCCAAGGAGCAGGGAGCCCGATGTGGGACTCGATTCCAGGACCCTGGGATCATGACCTGAGCCGAAGTCAGACGCTTAACCATCTGAGCCACCCGGGCGCCCCCCGACATGCTTACAAATTATGTGCATATGTCACTCTTAATGCTGAATAGTGCATTGTTTAGATGAACCAATTGTGGGCACCTGGGTGGCTCAGTCAGTTAAGTGACTGCCTTCGGCTCAGGTCATGATCCTGGAGTCCCTGGATCGAGTCCCGCGTCAGGCTCCCTGCTCGGCGGGGAGTCTGCTTCTCCCTCTGACCCTCCCCCCCTCTCATGTGCTTTCTCTCTCTCTCATTCTCTCTCTCTCAAATAAATAAATAAAATCTTTAAAAAATATATTAAAAAATATAGATGAACCAATTTTATTTCAAGTTTCTCCAATACTTGACATTTTAGACTCTTCCAATGTCTCATTTTTATAATGTTTCCATGAACACATTTAAGAACATGAGATGAAATCTTTATAATTACCTTAGTCTGAATTTCAGTCCCTTGGTTTTTAACTTATAAGTCCCATTAGTCCCTGAGCCTCACTTTCTTGTCAGTGAACTGGGGACAGCACTAACAGCCTTCAAAGGGCCTTGAAGCACCCTGAACTATGCAATAGTTAATCTGGGGGGCTGAGCCTCAAACAACACCTAGTACATAGCAGTTCTTAACGTTAGTGATTCTGAGCATAGAGGTAAGACCCTGCCCTCTTCCTTAATTAACCATGAATATTTCAAATTTCAAAAGAACCTCAGGAAGACTGGAAGCTCTCCAAGGTACCAAAGAAAATGCCTGTGAGCTGGAATCTCTGGCACTATGAGCAGAGTGGAGGGCATCTTTCTGGGCAGAGGTATGCTAGAATGTTCTTAATCTCAGCATAGAGATGCAGAGGGAAAGCCCAGCCCCCAAACTCATTTTCCAATCCAGCTCCCCCGACTCTCTTCATCACACCCTATAGTCTCCACAGTGAGTGAAGCCCAGGGGAGACTTTGGCAAGGCTCCCATCAGCTCCTAACCCCAGTGGCCTGCTGGTGCTCCCCCCATCTGCCTAGTAACTCTTCTAGATGCAGTGTGACATGCTCTTTCATCTTGCTCCTTTTCCTCACGTACAAGACCAAAGAGATGAACCAACCCCCCAGTTCCAAGAAGGACAATGCATGGCAAACCTGGAGGGTTCATCCAGCCCTAGTCTCTCATTGTATAGACAGAGAAAGTAAGGCTACGTGAAGGAATGGGAAGAAATGAGCTTTGGAGTCAGCCAGACCTGGTCTCAACTCTCGAATCTGCTACTTCTGAAGAGTTAATACACTTGGCCTCCATTTCCTCACCTGTGAAATAGGTCTGCTGAGAGGCTCCCCACCTTGAGGGACTACTGTGAACAGCAGCTAAGGGAACATATGTCTGTGAATGAGCACCCTGATGAACATAAGGTGCTGTACAAATGGAATCATGAATGGCTCCAACTCTCCTTCTGTTCACAGAACTGAGGCCCAGAGAGTGGCAGGGGTTGTCCAATGTCACACAGCAAATTGGTCATGGTGACAGGACTGAATACTCTACACATAGATCAGCGGGGACTCACCTGCCCATGGGGACACTCTGTGATGTAAAGGACGGTGACAGCAAACCTGCAGGACAAAAACAGGGTTTGGGGTACTGTGGCCGCTCCTAGCATGGTCCCTGAAAAGAAGCCCAGATCCCATCAGCCTGGAGCTACCTCCCCTTTCCTTCCTCCTCCGGAGGGCTGGTGCCCAGGCCTCCATGTACGTACGTCCCTCCCAGATCAGACACCCTGCTTATGCTAAAGTACATGCACCAAATTCATCTCACATGCCCTCAGATAGGACACAAACCCGGGATCCACACAGCAGAGCACAAGTCCGTGAGGGAGCTCCTTCTCCCTGCCAGGGGCACAAGCTGAAGCCTGCAGAGGGAAAGGAATCTGTCCAGAGTCACACCTGGAGCCAGGACCGAGGCCCAGGTCTCCCAACTCTGGTGTCCATGCTCCTTCTGCCCAGCCTGGCCTTGTCTGGAAACGGTGCCCTGAGGAACAAGTCTCAAGGCTTTAGCCTCCCGACACACGGTCCTGGTCACCTTCCAGCCCGATTCATCTCCCAGGGAGTGCAAGCCGCTGAGTGAGTCCCCCCACCCTCTCCTCCCCAGGGCAAAGGTTTGTCAGAGGCCAACAAGATGGTACTATTACTCCACGTCTAACCCCGGACACACTCTCTTTTCATTTTATAAAGCGAGCCATCTACAGACTTAGGAATTGTAGTCACTGGGGCGTCAGCTGCTTATGAGCCCCTGCAGTGGCCTGCACACGGGCCTAAGGACCCCCTGCATCACAGAAGTGCTGCAGGGGGGAAGCCGGCTCAGTGAGGGGGACAGAGGCGCGAAAGCAGAATGCTCGTGGGATTATTCAGGCAGCAAAGACTCCTGGGGCCAGTCCTGTGCCAGTGCTGAGGGCACAGAAATCAACAGGAGGGTCAAGAAGTTCTCCATCTGTGGGGTCGACAATCTATGAAGGATGAGCCTGTATCTACCACCGGATCGAGTTGGGGAAGATAATCCACAGGGGAAACAGCAAAATATAGACAAAGAGACCAGAAAGCATGACCCACAGGGGTTATCTTGTTATCTAGCGTGTTCCCTGGCTCAGAGTGAGGAGATAATAGCATGTTTGCCGAGTAAGTGGGTGGATGAAGGAACACAGGAGTCCGGTGTGACCGGAGGGTGTGTGCTGGACACTGTGGGAGATAGAGAGATAGGAGATGCCAGACCGCAGTGGCCCTGAACGTCAAGCTGAGGTGCATGGACTTCCCCTGGGCTCCTGGGGGAAACATGCCAGCACAGAAGAGAAGCATCCAAATGGGACTCCTGCATCCCCCCACTGGGACCCTGGGCAGTTTACAGAAATGAAGTTTGCTATATCACTGACTTCGGGGAATATTCTAATCACAAGTGGGCTGTGAAGCAGAAAGCATGCTGGCCTGACCTTCTGCAGCCTAAAGTGCGGTCCCAGAGAGAGGCCACAGTGGAACCCGGGACCAGTCACCCCACCTGCCCATCATGAGCCTCAGGTCTGGGCAAAGAAGCCCTCCCCAGGGAGCTGAGAGGTCACCCCCAGCCCTTTGTCCAGAGGTCAGCCACGGCCAAAGGAGTCACAGGAAGGCAGGCAGGCAGCGTCCGTCTTACCAGATCAGAGAGTAGCCGAAGCCGAGGATGGAGCTGAGCAGCCGGAACTCCGACGAGAGGCAGGCAAAGAAGGGGAAGTGGGACAGGCCGACTTCCATGCCTCCGATCAGCAGCACAAAGGCTGGGAGAGACAGGGCCAGAGATGCCATGAATCTTTTTCCACGGGCTCCGGGCATCCCAAGGAAGCTATGGGGCTTTACACCGACTTCCAGTCGCAGGCCTCAGGACCCAAGGAGATGAGAGGACAAGCCCCAGCTCAGCAAGGAGGAATGCGGGAATGCCTTTCACTCTTGCAACGGACCCTTCCTGGGACCTCTTCCATGCCAGGCACTGGCTAAGTATTGGGATGAAGAAGACCTGGTCCTTGCCTTTGGGCAGCTCACACTATGAGGTGCAGGCAAACCACATACCTGAACAAACAGTAACCACCAAGAGTACAGCACGGCAAGAGCACCATGGCAACACAAAGTGTAGTGATGTGTGTGCACAAAACCTCCTGTCCTTTCTACACAAGCAAATGATAATAGTCATTCTGCCACTGACTAGCTCTTAGAGAATCTAACAGGCTCCAGGAAAATCTAATCGTGCAAGACGACCTTCACAAAGTATCTGCTTTGAGCTGGCTCCAGAGCCAGACACTAAGGCTACAGGAAGAATGAACAAGCTTCTTGCTTTGAGATGCTTGCAGTCCAATAGAGAAGACAGGGAGGAAGGTGAGTGGTGTGTTAACGGAGGCACAGTCGATCTGCTATGGGGACAAGAAGGGGAAGCCACCGACTTCACCTAGGGTCTGGATCAGGGAAGGCTTTCTAGAGGTGGTGACATTTAGCAAGGCCAGGAAATACAAACAGGGGTTTGTAAGAGGGAGAGAAGGGAAAGAAGGGCATTCCTCCCTCAGATGGGAGGTGGTCAGCTGCGGTTGGTCCGTATTTACATGCATGTGAACGGCAGGCGGCCGGCAGGACAGGGCCCTCCATACAAGGAAGAATTTCTGTGAGGATAGAAGCCACAAGAGCATAATTTTGCAATCTCCCTGTCATAGAAGCAGAGTAACTAAGATGGCAAAACCAAACCCACAGACAACATCTACCAGAAATCTAGGTCTTGAGACCATTTGGTTTCGACATCTGAGTAAGAGGAAGCAGAGGAAGGCAGCGGGATGTCCGAAGGCCTGAGAAAAGAAGAACCTCAACCTGCCAGCAGACACAAGACACTGAAGCTGAAATCCCAGCTGAAAGTGGGCAAGGTGCTGAAGACCGTGAGTCACGGGTGAGAAAGAGCCGGCGGCCGTGACCTCAGTCTGCTGACTACCTCAGGCCCCTCCCACGACACAGCCCCCCATGGAGGCGGCCTGCAGACCCGTCAGACTCCAAAGTGAGAGGGAGAGGAACATCAGGAGCTGGGAAACAGTGGGTCCAGATGCCAGTGGGGGGAAGAGGCTGACTGGGAAAGGCTGAGGGTGTTAGGGGGATACACCTCTATAATCACGTTGTGAAAACAGAAGAGAGGAATTTCGAGCCACAAAGCAAAAAATGATGTTCTGACCCTGCCAGGTGCCCCACAGCGCTGGTCTTCAGGGACCTGCAAATCCAGACAGCAATTAGATACTACTTCACACGTGCTCAGATGGCTGCCATTGTTTTAAAAATAGAAAATACTATTGGGGAGGATGTGGAGAGATTGGAGCCCTCGTAGGCTGCAGATCAATGGAACAGAGCAGAGTCCAGAAACAGACCCATACATATATAGCCAATTGTTGCTGACAAAGGTCCAAAGGCAATTTTGTGGGCAAAGGACAGGTTTTTGAAATACAAAGTATTGGAAAAAATGGATAACCAAAGGCAAAAAAAAAAAAAATGAACTTCAATCTGTACCTCACACTATATGCAAAACATTAACTCAAAATGTATCATAGACCTAAATGCGAAATATCATGACTATAAAGCTTCCAGAAAAAACACAGGAGAAAGTCTAAATGACCTTAGATTAGGTAAAGATCCCTTTTCTGACACCATAAGCATGATCCATAAAAGAAAATGAATAAATTAGATTTCATCAAAATTTTAAGACAGCTTTTCAAAAGAAATTGTTGGTAGAATGAAAACAAAAGCCACAGACTAGGAGCAAATGTAATTCAGACATCTGATAAAGGACTTATATACAGAACTAGATATAGAACTATCAAAACTCAATATGAAGAACACAAAAACCCTAATTTTTATAGATAAGGAAAGCGATTTGGACCCTTCACCAAAGAAGCTATAGGGATAGTAAATAAGCACATGAAAATGTGCTCAACATCATCAGTCATTATGAAAATGCAAATTAAAACCACAATAAGACAGCATTACATGCTTAGAATGGCTAAAATTAAAAAGACTTTGTTTATTCATTTGTTTTTTAGAATCTACATATGAGTAAAATCATATGGTATTTATCTCAGTCTGACTTGCTTCACTTAGCATTATACCCCCTAGATCCATCCATGTTGTTGCAGATGGCAAAGATCTCATCCTTTTTATGGCTGAGTAATATTCCTCTGTGTGTGTGTGTGTATGTGTGTGTACCACATCTTCTTTGTTCATTTATTGATGGGCACTTAGGTTGCTTCCATATCTTGGCTATTGTAAATAATGCTGCAATAAACACAGGGTGCTTATATCCTTTCAACTTAGTGTCGTCATTTTCTTTGGGTAAATACCCAGTAGTGGAATTACTGGATCATATAGTAATTCTATTTTTAATTTTCTAGGACTCTCCATACTGTTTTCCACAGTAGCTGTACCAATTTACATTCCCACCAACAGTGCGTGAAGGTTCTTTTTTCTCTACATCCTCACCAACACTTGTTATTTCATAAACAAACAAACAAAAAGCAGAATCAGATCTATATTTACGGAGAACAAACTGATGGTTGCCAGAGAGGGGGTGCAAAATGGGTGAAGGGGACTTAGAGGTTGCCAGTTATGAAATGAGTAAGTCACAGGAAGAAAAGCAGCCAAGGGAATACAGTCAATGATATTATAATAGTGTTGTATGGTGACAGATGGTAGCTGCACTTGCAGTGAGCAGAGTATAACATACAGAGATATTGAATCATTATGTTGTACACCTGAAACTAATGCAATTAAATTAAAAATTTTTTTGAGAGAGACAGTGCATGCATGAATGGGGGTGGGAGAGAGGGGCAGAGGAGGGAGAGACAGAATCTTTTTTTTTAAGATTTATTTATTTATTTGAGAGAGAGAGTAGGGTGGTATGGTGGGGAGGGGCAGAGAAAGATTCTTTTTTTTTAAGATTTAATTTTTTATATTTGTCAAAGAGAAAGAGAGACAGAGATAGCGAGGGAGAGCACAAACGGGGAGTGGCAGAGGGAGAAGCAGGCTCCCTGCTGAGCAGGAGCCCAATGAGGGACTCGATTCCAGGACCCTGGGATCATGACCTGAGCTAAAATCAAGAGTCAGGCACTTAGCCGACTGAGCCACCTAGGTGCCCCCAAAATTATTTTAAAAAGAGATTGACTCCAGGAAACAAACTGAGGGTTACAGAAGGGAGCAGGGTGGGGGGTTGGGGTAACCGAGTGAAGGGTATTAAGGAGGGCAGGACTGGTGAGGAGCACTGGGTGTTATACACAACTAATGAATCACCGAACACTACATCAAAAACTAATGATGTACGATATGTTGGCTAATTGAAAATAATAAATTAAAAAATAAAATAAAATAAAATAGAATAAAAACTGAGAAAGAAGGGGAAAAATAAAAAGAGACTGACAAGAACAGTATAAATAAAAAACAAAAAGACTGACCATGTGCTGCCAAGGATATAGAGAAACTGGAAGTCTCACATACTGATGGTGGTCATCTAAAATGGAACAATCACTTTGAAAAACAGTTTGACAATTTCTTTAAAAAGTATGATCTACTACAGGAAGTGTATGATCCAGCCATTCCACTCACAGGTATTTACCTAGGAAAAATGGAAGCAGAGGTACACACAAAGACCTGTACACAAATGTTCATAGCAGCCTGATTTGTAATAGCTAAAGATGCAAATAAATCAAATGTCCATCAAGAGGTGAATGGGCGGGCACCTGGGTGGTGTGGCGGGTTACAAGGCTGACTTTCGGTTTCGGTTCAGGTCATGGTCTCAGGGTCATGGAATTGAGCCCCAGGTTGGGTTCCACACTTAGTGCGGAGGCAGCTTGAGCCTCTCCCCCCTCTCCTTCTCCCACTCCTACCCCACCCACCACCCCAGGGGCACGCTCACTCTCTCTCATGAATAAATCAATCTTGTAAAGAAAAAAAAAAAAAAGGTGAATGGGTACACAAACTGTTTTCTCCATATAATGGAACACCACCTGACAATAATAAGGAATGAATTTCTGGCACATGTTAAATGTATATGAATCTCAAAATAACTATGCTGTGTGAAAGAAGCCACACCAAAAATAAAAAGTACATTCTGTATAATTCCATTTATATAAAATTCTGGAAAAAGATCAGTGATGAGGGCAGTGACGGAATAAGGTGGGAAGGAGAGATTACAAAAGGCGACAAGGAAATTATGGAATTCATTGTCTTGATTGTGGTCATGATTTCATGGACGTAAACATTTGTCAAAACTCATCAGACTGTACACCTCAAAGAGATGTGTGGTGGTGTATCATGTCAGTTTTAATTTGCATTTCCCTAAAGACTAATGAGATGCCGGTGGGCATTTGCTCTTACAGGCCTGGAGGCCCTGAGAGAGAACTGGGCTGGACAGAGAGGTTTGGAGTCATTGTACTGGAATGGCTGAATACGTAAATTAGAGTTGATCCTTCAGGGAGAACGTGAGGCATGGGGAACGAAGAGGCCTCAGACCAATGGCCAAAGAAATAAGTATTGCTCTGTGAGGAGGAATCCCAGGGCTTGCTGATATCAAGAAGGCAGAGATGGCTAGGACTCAGGACTCAAATTTTTGGGGTAGGTGATGGTGAACCTACTTTTTGAGCCATTGTTCTATGTCTATAGGAGCTCAGAATCTCCCTGAGAGAAAGCCCCACAAACAAGCTTTGACCTGGCGGGCAAGGCATTTTTCTTGGGCAAGTTACAGGCAGCGAAGAAGCAGACTACTCATATAACATTTATTTTTTTTTATCCCCTGATCCCAGGGAACCCCTGCCACGCAATCTCTGAGAGCAAGACTTGCCATCGCAAAATTCCCAGCGGGTATGAGGCAGTCCTTACCTTGGGCCCACTGCGGGATCTGCAAGGGCTGGTAGCCTTCCGAGAACAAGAACATGACCTTATTGGCTGTGGCCCCAAAGGCGATTCCATAGGACCATCGGTTACTAAAGGTGCCCACCAAGTCCAGAGGTCTGTGAACAAGAGAAACAGCTCATGAGGCCAGACCGTGGCTCATTCCCACAGTTCACCTCCAAAGTATCAATCCTACCCTGAGGAGGGATTATGGGGTGGTGAATTATTCACTTCAACTGACATTTTCTGAGGCCCTCAGGGCTAATTCTGGGGGTAAGCATGGATTCAGGGTACTGAAGTGAGGAAGACCAAAATCTTTGCCCTTGAGGAGCTCCAAGGCTTGGGGGAGGGGAGTGGGGGGAGGGACACAAGCAAGGACACTAATAACCATGACAACAAACAAAAATGGGTGAGTTTCATCTAGGAGAGACACAGGCAGTATGACTCAGGAGACCGTAACAAGGAGCATGTACTCGACAGGCTTGGGGGAGGCTGCCCTGTGCCCAGCCACTAGGAGAGCCCCAACATCCCTGGGAGGGTCTGGGTAGCATTGGCCATGCTGGTTCCACGCCAGCATACCTTCCCAGCCACAGCTGATTGGACCAGGGGGTGACCACCTGACTCTGGATGGGCCAGTCAGATGCCTGGTCTTGGATTTTGGCTTTCTGACCTGAGGACACGAGCCAGTCAGCTGTTAAAATTCTGTTCTGGAAAGTCCTGCCAAGTTGGGATCAGAGTTGGTGCTAGAGGCAAGTGGAAGTTTTAGGGAAGCAAAGATCCTAAATCAGATGATAAAGTCAGACAGCAGAGAGGACACTAGTAAAATGGTGCTGAGGGGCTCCTGTGATGCAGGGAGGCAGGAATAGAATTAGTCTCCCAATAATGCCCATCTCAAGAGACCCAGTGGCCATGAGGCCAGCCTTGCCAGTTCCGGTGAAATCTCTGTAACTTTATAAAAATCCTTTCTTTTCCTTTTACAAAAACAAGCTTTACAGGATATCTGTTTCTTCTAACCAAAATGGCTCTGTCTAGATCAAAGTAAAAAACCACATCTGGAAAAAAGAGAAGACTTTCCCATCAAAGTGGCATCTGAAGCGACTTTGGTGAAAACTCTGGGGGCAATGGGAGCAATGCATGGAGGCAGGGACCTGGGGCCAGGATCTGGATCTCACCTCCTGCCCCCTTAGTCTTTCTCAGCTTCCCCTTCAAGTCTCAGCTCAAGGAGCACCTCTTCCAGGAAGCCACCATCACCCCGACCACTCCCTGCAGGCCCACCCAGTTGCTGCCTTGTCTGTGTCCCCTCAGCCCTAAGGGCATGTCCGTGTCGCAGCACACCTCTCTGCATTATTGTTTGTCTAGGAAACGATACACTCCAAGGAGTGAGTACCTAGCACAGGATCTTGAAAAGAGTAGGTGCTCACTGCACATTCACCAACACGCATTTTGTGGACATGAACCGAATTCAGTCAGTCCCACCCATGGTACCTCAGAGATATGTGAGACTGTTTGCATATCTTTCAGACAGATGGCAGCCCCCACTCTGCTCATGTCAGAGACACCATGGGCGGCAAATGAAGAACTGCTTGACAAACTGTGGTGTGCCACGCACATGTGAGGGGCTTCTGATGCGTGAAGACGGTGGGCCAGAGCTCCTCAGAAAAGCAGGGGTTTTGATGGGAAAGTGGCCAGGGAGCAAGCAAGGTGTGCTGTTACCAATCGAATTCAAAGCAGTTCCACATGACCCATACAGAGCTCCTACTTCTTAAAAAGTCCCGCACGAGGCCCCGCATGTCAGATGCCCAGGGCAGAGTCTGCCTCTGCGCCCCAACCAGCGTAGCTCAGGCCTGGCAGTTTGGGAGTGGCTGACCCCTCCAATGGGGGCTATCCAGAATGAGTCTGCTCCTCAGAACTGGTACAGGGGCTCCCTTTGTCACCCTGAATCCCTAGGTCACCGCTAGCCTTGGTCTCGACACCCTGGCTTCCTCTCCCTTCTCCAGAATCCAGGGTGGAGACCTTAGCATGTTTACATACTTGAGACTGCTTAGACTATGATGTCAGGGGGAATCAGAGCAAATATCAACCAGACCTCGGTGAAAGCTCTTGTCACTTGTTAGCTGTGTGGACTTGGGCAAGTCACTTAACCTCTCTGAGCCTGAGTTTACTCATCCATTACATGAGGATAAGAACCTCCAGCATGCTAGGCCAGCAAGAGGGTTAGTCCAAGTAATGTTAGGCAAAGCAAATGGTTCAGTGCCTGGGTCACGGTCACTGTGCAGTAACTGTTATCTGCCTCATTATCATTATTATGAATTATCAAAGGGTGATGCGGCAGAGATACAAACGATTAGAGCTTAAGGAAAAACGTGCTAAGGGGTGCAGAGACTCAGGATGGCAGAGCCAGCAAAGGCTCTCCTGGTGCGTGACTCATGGCGCCTCCCGGCATAGCTGCTTGCTGCTGCCTGTGGCCGACTGAGAACCCTCTTCCTCCTGCTTCCCGAGGCTGCCATAGTGCTGGGTGCGGGAAGGCTTTTCCCATAGTGAGCGGGGTCTCCTTGAGGCCTTTTCATCACACCTGGGCAGCCCTGGGTGCTGAGGCCGCCCTGGCTTGGAGGCCAGTTCTGAACTCCCGGAGCTGGGCTGGGGTGGGGCAGGGGGGGGAAGGGGGTTGGTGAGGAGGCAAGGCTGGAGAGCTAATGGGGAGTTGTCCTGGCCTTACAACAGGTATTGGCCCCAAACACAGGCTTCCCCAAGCCGTAGCGATCGGCCCTAGCTCCACTCACATGATGATTTCAAAGTGGTTCCCCAGGAGGTGAGAAGTATCATCTCTCTGTTTACGGCGCTCTCGCCTTTGGAGAACGGACAAGACCAAAATGATGAAAAGCTACGGGAAGAGAAGATGAGAGTGTCAGTGGGAACATTCATCCCCAGTGTGGCCCTGGAGCCTTCCCTGGAAGAGAAGGTGAGGGTGAGCAGAGGGCGCAGAGTGTCTGTGACCCCACCCCCGAGTCCGGGAGATGGGGCATGCACCCTTGAGATTCCAGAAAGCTCAGTTTTGTACCGAGCTTTCCTCTCTGTTGCCCTGAACAGGTTCAAATCTCGTCTCCCCCACAGACTGACAGGAAGAGAGACCTCACTTCCCTGAATCTCCATTCCCTCAGCTGTAAAAAGGGGATAATACCTGTCAGGTTGCAAATCCTTCTTTGCTCGCCCCCTCACCCCCGCCTCCCACCCCCGCCACTGTGGATTCAATCATATTCCCAATCCTTGATGCCCTTTGTCTCTCCCCTGTTACTAGAAACCTCTAGACAACTGTCTACTCTCGCAGTCTTCATTTCCTCACCTCCCACTTGCTCTTCAACCCCCTAACCTGGCTTGACCCCCATCCATGGAGAAAGAGCTCTGGCCAAAGTCGCAAATTACCAAATTACCAAATCCAGTGGAAACTTGAGGCCCAAATCTGGCTTGATCCATCAGCTGCGTTCCACAGTGTTGACCACTTCCTCCTCTTAGAAACACCCTCTTCCCTAGGCTTCCATCAGCTGTGCTTTTCAGGGTGTTCATTACCTCTCAGCTTCCTCTGCTGGATTATTCTTTCCTCAACCACTAAAGTCGGGAGCTCCTCATAGTTCAGTCCAAGGACCCCTCCTCTTATTACTGGATTCTCTCACCCACATCCATGCTGTCAATGGCCACCAACGCCCAGAAGACTCACACGCCTGACTCTTCAGCCCAGACCTTATCCATGAGCTCCATAACTGTTCACTGAACTACAGAGTTGGCATTTCTTTTTGACGTATTGAAAGCTTCTTAAATTCAGTATGTCTTCAACGAAATTCATGATTTGCCTCCCTGCCCTGTTCCTTCAACCACCCCAACCCCTGATCTCTTCTGAGTCTCCTTAACCAGTGAATGGCAGATACCACCATTCTTCTGGCTGTGCAAGCTACGAAAACCATGTCACCCTCAAATCTTCCTCTCCCTAACTTCTCTATCCTACGCATTACCCAGTCCTATTGCCTTACCTCCCAAACATCTTGAGCTGACCACCACGATCCAGGATGAGCTAAAATCTGCAACCATCTCCTCTCGGGCCCACCTCCAACCTGATCCCCACAATGTGACCAGAAAGTTCATTTCAAAACAGAAATCTGATCACGCCAGCCTCGCACTGGAAACACTCCAGTTACTTCCCACTGCACTTAGAATGCGGACACCACTCCTTCACACAGAGCTCCACAGGGCTCCGCCTGACCCAGGCCCAGATACCTCCACCTCAGCTCCCCACTCCGGTCATACCAGCCCTCTCAGCTCCTCACACTCTCCATTCCCCTCCTCCACAGGGCCTTTGCATGTGCTCTCCCCCCTGCTTGAGAGGCTCTTTACCACATCTTCCAACAGACCTCGGCTGTCACTGCTTCCTTAGAAGAGCCTTTTTTAATTCCCCTAAAAACCAGTGTCCTTGACTCATTGACCCTTAAAAGCCTTCTTCTGCCTGCTTTTTTGGTGCATAATGCAAGAGAGCAAGTCGAGGAAATTCAGCTGATATCTCTGCTGACCTATTCAGACCTTTTTGGGAGTCTGTGTATGGGAGTGACCCAATTCCCCTCCCCTCTGCTCCATGCTTTCCCCTGCCTTTACTTACTGATGGGATGAGGGAGTAATGGAGAAAGAGCTCCAAGTCCACCGAGCTGACACAGGTGCCATTCAGCTGCCTGGTTCTGAAAAACAGCCAAAACCACATTCACACCGTCAGTCACTACTGTAATCATTGACCCGTCAGCCTTGAGCATCACTGGCAGGAGCTTGGCTTGTACCCCACTAAGATCATCTGATCTTATCTTTTTTAACTTTGCTTCCTCAGGGCCAGCGCTGCCTACCTGCAACGTATCTTCCATACATGAATTCATCTTCATCCATATTTCTTTCTCCAGCCTGATTATCTACCCAACTGTCCTGCTAACTCCAGATCTAACTCTTTCCTTTCTTTTTTTTAAATTAATTAATTTATTTTTTAAGTAATCTCTACACCCAGCATGGGGCTTAAACTCACGACCCCAAGACGAGGAGTTGTATGCTCCACTGAGCTAGCCAGGTGCCCCTAGCTCCTTCCTTTCTTGATGACGCAGCTGGAGACAGACTCAGGCTCTGTGAGGCCCAAAGCTTATCTAATTTGGACATCCTTTTCAAATAAAACTATGAAATCCTCTTACTTTTCATATTTTCAGGAAAACATACCGCCATGTGAACACTTAACTAAGGTGCCCACCCCTCCCCGCTGAGCCTTGGAAGGGCCTCCCTGCAGGGAGGTTGGAGCCTCACTAACTTCGCAGGAATGCCACGGGCATCTGGACCACCGGCGGTGGACCATGTCCTCTCCCCAGGCTGCAGGAGCGGGATGCTGGCACCTCGAGTCTAAAACACGACACGACAGTTCCACGACTTCTCTTGACATAGACCCTCTCCATTCTGGGCTCCCGCATACTTTGCTCTTGCTGCTTGGACTCCACTCCACGCCCTCTGTGCCCTCATGGCCACTCGCAGATCTGCATGGACTCTGTCTCCCCCCACCTCGACTCCAGGCTTCCTTCCCCCCCAACTCCTGCCCTTCCCTCAGAAGTCTCAGGAGAGACCACTCCTCGGGGAAACCCGTGAGCAGGGCGCCTTCCCCTGTAGTTCTTGAAAACCCCGATGTTCCACAGGTATGTGTAGCCACAGGTGTGAAAGATCCTAGAAGTGGTGGGGAAGGTGCGGGAACCCAGGAATGTGATAGAACCGCAAAGATCACACTTCTGCTCTCAGGAAGGCACACAGAGCATGTACATCAGTCTGCCCATCCCACACGAAACCTTCAAAATGACAAAGATGTCATTTTTTTAAAAAAAGAAAGAAAGAAAACGGATATTTGAAAGCAAGAAGGAGCTCAGGGACAGAAACTACTAGAAGACCCTGAATGATAGAGAGGAATTAGGATTATAGCAAAGATGGCTGCCTGGGTGGTTCAGTCAGTCAGTTAAGTGTCTGCTTTCAGCTCAGGTCATGATCCCAGGGTCCTGGGATTGAGCCCCATGTCAAGCTCCCTGCTCCACGGGAAGCCTGCTTCTCCCCCTCTCGCTCTGCCACTCCCCCTGCTTGTGCGCTCTCTCTCTCTCTCTCTCTCTCTCTCTGTCAAATCAATAATAGTGAAGAGAAAAAGCATGAGCCAACAAGGCTACACACGGTGGGGCCACACAAAGGGCTCTACACCCATAGTGCAAGAAGGCAAGCAGGACAGGGTTGCCAACAGCCCACCGAATGATGAACTGGGGTCTCCCAGAGACCCAGCTATCCTCCCCTCTCTGCCGACAGCCAGGGGCAATGGGGGTTGTCCCCAGGAGTAGTGTATATGGGTCACAGAGAGAAAGAGAGGCAGTGCTCTGGATCACAGGGACCGGGAGCTTCACCTCCCAGATGGCCAGCCCCGGAGGTACTCCACCTAGCGGTGCCCCCCCCCACTAGCCACCTTCCAGAAAGCGGGCACCCCAGTGGCCACTCAGTCACAAAGATGAGCACACAATCAAGAGCCATCAAACATTTGAGGGAAGATTACACCACAAAAGGGAGCCAAAAACTTAAGAAGGGGCAACTTGCTCTTAAGGAGACAAAGTTAAGTCGGAATCTCTCTGAGCTCATTACTACAGGAAATCCTTTATAAGAAGCATAAATCTAGGAGGAAGTAGAGGAACAGCAGGCAAAAAAAAAAAAAATTGGCAAAATTTACTGTTAACCTCCAGCATAGGATTTTAAGAAAATATACATTTAAATAAATAAATATATAAATATATATAAGACATTTATTAAGATATCTCTATCAAGACCTGTCTGTAGATATATCTTTACATACAGATAACATTCTTAGAAACACAAGGTTGCAAAAACAGTCTGGAAAAAAAAGTGGAAGAAATTCTCAAGAAATAAGAAAGAGGATTCTAGGAAGAAGCAACACCTAACAGAGAAATGAGTAAAATATATTGTTAAATATCAGGGCTCCTGGGTGGCTCAGTCGGTTAAGCATCCAACTCTTGATTTTGGCTCAGGTCATGATCTCAGGGTTGTAGGATCGAGTCCCATGTCCAGCTCTGAGCTCAGCACAGTCTGTTGGGGATTGTCTCCCTCTCCCTCTGCTGCCTAACCCCCCACCCCCCGCTCATGCTTTCTCTAAATAAATAAATATCTCGGTGAGTAGTTACTGTGACACATAATGCGTGAAATGCCGAATTGGAGGTAAAATACCAGGTGATATCCCACAGGGGGTAGGGGTGGGGTGGGAACAAGTGTGGACACAGAGGGGAGAACAGCACCATCACATTCTCTTGCTTAGCAGAATGATGGAGAAAACTGTTTTCTCTTTCTGGGCATTATAAGAAAAATGAAGTTCTAAGTAAGTTGTTAAAAATTCATAGGTAATGGCCAGAAGAATACAAATACAGTGTAAACCTGTATATTAAAAAATATCTATGGAAGAAAGAAAATTCAATCACTCCAACAAACTACAGGAAAAGAAAAAAATCAAATCAAGATTAGAAGAGAAATTAAGATAAAATCCTATCTTATCTATTAAATTGGGAATTATTAAAAATACTACCCAGTATTACTGAAGGTTAAGACAAGTTAGTATCCATTTACTGGTAGTAAGAGTGTTAACTGGTATAAACATTCTGTGAATTAATTTTGCAATATATACACCAAGAACCTTCCAAATACAGCAATTCCACTTCTAGGAATTCTACTTCTGAAAAATATAAGCTAAGGAAATACTCAAAAAGGTGCCTAAAGATAGGCTCAGATTCTCTCTCTGTCTCTCTATCCCTCACTCTGTCAATCTCTCTCTCTCTCGCATGTATGTAACATTTGAAATGTAATATATGCTCATTGCAAAACACTCAAAATATGTACAAATGTATAAAGTAATAAATAAAAGTCCTTTCTCCTTCCATAACTATGCATATTTATAACCTCTATAGCGTTAAGCAAAAAATGGGATCTGACGAAACTTGATTTCTTCATTTAACCAAGGAAAGAAAATACATTTACTAAGGAAAGGAAATTTCTCGTGTCAATATATACAGACCCATCAGACTCTTCTGGATGGGTGGCTGCCCACACAGATTCACCAGCAGGCCTCTCTCGGGCTCGAGGGGCTGAGCTGAGAGCTGGTCTGGCAGTAGCTGGAAACAGGCGAGCTCAGGGAGGGTGGACAGAGCAGCTCTCTAGCTAACGGGTCCACAGCTGTGGCGTCTGGTCCCCCTGGGCTCCACACCCTCTCCAGCAGCCAGCGCCATGAACATGTGATGCCTACTGCAGGCAACCCAAGCTCAAAAGCTGCTGAGACCTCTTCCCGGCAGGCCCAGGGCTGGTGGGGCAGGTGTGCTGAAGGCCGACCGTCCACAGGGCCGCAGCAAAACAACAGCCCCAAATGTAGAAGACCCACTCTCCACGGATGATGCCTTGGAAATGTGTGGATAATAGACTGTGAAGTGAAAGAAAATTCCTGCTTGATCCCAAGTTGTGAAGAGTGGTCATCTCTGGGTAGTGGGATTTGAGGTCATTCTACTGCCTTCTTGTGACTTTTTTCCGAATTGCGGTACCCAGAGATATGCCGCTTGACAGCTGTGTCCATCTATCTGAGTGCTAAGCACAGTGTCTGCACAAAGCAGAGGCAATAAACACGTGTTGAATGAAGGAATGGGTTGCTCTGTGATCAGGGAAAAAACTAACGGTTGTCCCTAAGCCATACAACATCATTCTGAAGTGAAGATGGGTGTGAAATCAGCATAAAGGCAAAACATGCAAGGTTTGTGGTGGCACATATTACAAATCTTTCATTAACTAAACAATTCTTAATAAAATGCTATGAGGGCCACTATGAGGCGTGCTATATAGCTGGTGCATCTAGAGCGTGGGTCATCCCAATGCCCAGCTCCTTTCTCCAACACCCCCACCCCTGTTGATCCCATGTCAGTGGGAGGTGGGGTCTCTGTGCTCCCACAATCCTTGGCCCTAACGTTATCACAATAGAAATAAGTTACGGTATGATATATAACAACTTTCCTTAATGGATGTGTCACTTAATTATGTGTCACTATGGCCTCGGCATTCTGCTATTTTGGATTATCTAATCTTTGCAGGAATCTTGGTGGGGGCAGGCTGTGTTATCTCCTTTTAAAAGTGAGGAACTGAAGCCAGGAGAGGCTTCACACCCCACCCAGAAGGCTGGGTGGGGCTGGGTGAGGCTGCACGTCACCATCCTCCCAGCCCCAGCTGCCAGCTCATGGGGCTCCCTGGAGCTGCTAGAGGTGCCTGGCCTCCCAGCCTGTGGCAGACTCAGCCCTGATTCCCGCCGTCAGCCCAGCTCCCGGCACAGAGAGGCTCAGCAATGTCTGTTAACTTTAAGAAACAAAACAGAGGATCATAGGGGAAGGGAGGGAAAAATAAAACAAGATGAAATCAGAGAGGGAGACAAACCATAAGAGACTCTTAACCACAGGAAACAAACCGAGGGTTGCTGGAGTGGAGGGGGGTAGGGGGGTAGCTGGTGGACATTAAAGAGGGCACGTGATGTAATGAGCACTGGGTACAAGACTGATGAATCTCTACCTCTGAAACCAATAATATACTATATGCTAATTGAATTTAAATTAAAAAAATAAAATAAATATGAAGAAAAAAAAAGAACTGTCAC